CACATCTCAATATTTTGTGAACCCCTTTGTATTCCTGTTTTAGAAAATTCCGTACCTACACTAACACATCAACAGTTTTGTTATTTACGTGATGAAAGCGGAACAACCAATCTTACACCCTCGGACGAGGTTTCTATGCCAAGGGTAGGAACCTGTGTATTTCGGCTTGGGGAACAGTAGGTAGTAGATATACAGGGTGTCTCTGAAAGGTCTGTTCGAAATGTACAAAGTGACATGATTGATCCAAACTCACCTCCATACCAAAACGTTACAGGGCATAGGAATTGAATTTGTATTTTTTAATTAAATGCAACACCCTGTCTCGCCAAATATTGAATATCATTGATGTGATTGATGATTTCATACGAAAATTAAGTTTGGACCAACAATAAGTAAACAATTCTGAAAAGTATCAGGTATGCAAATTGAATTTGGTCATATAACTTGCAAACCAATAGAAATATCACAAACTTTCAAGATGGTAGAATGTAATAGGTATTGAATGAGAATAGCAAACCACAATGAAATCTGTCCAGTTGAGTAGCCATAAAAAGTTCTATCAATTTTTCAACCAACAGTACTCCAAATATGTAACATTCTGTATGTTAATCAAAATGGTACCTATGGAATGTTTTTTGCATGATAGTACTCTTAGTGTGTCTACAAAATTTCAGAACGATATCTATAGACAATATTGAGATATACGAAAAGATGAATAATATATAAATTCAATTCCAACGCCCTGTGGCACCTAAAAGGAGCGTTATTTTGCTTCACTTTCGTCTCAGGAGTTTGTGGTATCATTTTGTACACACCTTTCAGGGACACCCTGTACAACGTTCAACGCACAGCTAGAGTGAGAATTTGATTTAAACCACTTAAACCAACTACACCTTTTCCAATATTATTTCAGAAATGGTCAATTGTATTTCCAATTTGTCATTTGAATGTCAGAAAGCATCATTTGTATTTCAAATTAGTCAATTTAATTTCGAAAAGTATCAAATGTATTTCAAAATTATCAATACAATTTCGAAATGCGTCAATTGTTTTTCTACTTAGGCATTTGAATTTCAAAAAACATCAATTGTATTTCACAATTATCAAATTGGTTTCAAAAACTATCACTTCAGATTCCAAAATAGTCATTTTATTTCAAAAAATATCAAATCTATTTCATAATGCATCATTTGAATTTCAGAACTGAAAAAACTGAGAGAGAGAGAGAGAGAGAGAGAGAATAGATACATATAGAGAGAGATTCATACAGAGAATATATATATAGAGAGAATATACTTCAAAAGAAATTGAATTGAATTGAAAAATAATAATAAATATAAAAATGTGTTAGTTAGTATGTAAAATAAATGTAAAAAAAATGAAAAAGAACCGCAATACATTAACTACACAAACGAACAACAAATTGAATTTGAATATAAAAACAGATAGTAAGTAAATAGGAAATCACAAAAGTGTTAAAATGTGTCAGAGTAAAATTCCGGTAAATTATAATAAGATTTATGTAACAGTAAGTTTTTCACAGATTTTCTAAAAATGTTCATATTGGCAGTGTTTTTGACATAACCAGGTAGATGACTGTACATCTTGCAGCCGTTGTAAATAACAGATTCTTTAATCAGTGATAATTTAGGAAGTGACCATGGACGTATAAACAAAGAGACAGACTAACGTTCATAAATAGTCAAGTAACATAGTGTGAAGGAAGTTTGTTAAACGTGTTCAGATGTTTCCTTATCAAACAAACGGTTTCTAAAATAGACATTGCTATTATCAAGAGTATTTTATGAATAAAGGCTTACAGGAGTCACGAATTTTAGCTTTGCGCATGAAACTTAGCTCTCTTTTTTTGAAGAACAAGAATACTGTTCATCTAGTTAGCATTACATGCACCCCAGAATGGGATGCCATATCTGAGATGATCTCAATTAGGGAATAGTAAACGATTCTAGCCGCACCCAATCCCAACTCGTTGGAGACAATCTTGACTGCAAAACACCCAGAAGATATGTTTTTCCTCAAGGCCTTAATGTCAACCTAGTATCAATAAACAATCCTGGGAATTTTGTGTTGAGTTTATTTTCAATGATATTTTGAAATATTGAGAACAAGTCAATCAGAATTACACCAAACTTTAATACTGTTATCATATCATTGTATGCCATCTCTTTGAGTTCACTACTGTTGTTGGCACGCCAAAATATTTTGGTGCCATGGTGTCATATTTTCATTCACCCTGTTATTGGAATGCTTCTGGCATAGACCAAAATATTTCGATCTATGCTTCTGGCGCCTGGTTCCTGTCATTGTGGCATCATCAATAAAAATGAACAGTTTTGAAATTGAAATGATAGATTTTGAAATTAATTTGGATTTTTTGAAATTATAATGACTAATTTGAAATACAATTGATGCATTTTGAAATCTATTCTAAATCTAAATTAAAATAACTAATGTGAAATACAAATGACGCATTTTGAAATTGAATTGATAATTTTGAAATACATTTGATACCTTTTGAAATTGAAATGAGTGATTTGAAATACAATTGATACTTTTTGAAATCAACTTTTGAACTGAAATTGGAAAAGGTGTAGTACCATATAATTTGGCCAATGAAAATGGATTCCGGCTAACAATACAATTACTATTAAACAACTATTCAATTATTTTGAGCTCTTAATACACAGTTAATAGAAAGTTCACTTACCATTTTGCTTCAATAGCACCTAGTTGAGACATTGAGATCATAAAAATAAATACTGTATTCCTCGAAATGACAATATTCACAGTTATTCAACTAGACATAGTCACCACTTATATACACCTCAAAACTATTTGAACATAGCACTGAATGGTCCAATATCTAGTGGTATCAGAATATATAAGCCTCCAAATATCATCAAAGAACAAGGAACATACTTTAAGTTCAGGAAATCTCTTAGACAATACCTGCTTGAAAAGTGTTACTACACAATAGAAGAGTTTCTGGCTTTATTTTTTATTATTTTCTTCATTTCTCAAAAGTTTTACTCATGAAATTGTATGTTTAGTGTGTACTCTTCTATGTGTACCTATATATAAAATATAATTGTAACTTGTGGCTTGTTTTATACCTTGTATGGTCTACAAAATTAATAAATTTGATTGATTGATTGATTGATTATTATTCTAGACATGGAGACGATGTTTTTCATGCACAATCGATAACAAACATTATGTCCTAACGATTAGAACCTAAGCTAAATAGTGTTTCCAACTATTAGTGAAATTTAGTGTTTGAGAATCTCCCAACATTCTTTTTTTTTCAAACTCTACTAAAATAATCACCTTGAAACAAATAAAAAGTACACAAACATAGCATTCACAACTTAGATACCTACATATATTCTGTTTCAATTAAAGTAGACACATACATTTTCTTCGAGGGCAGAAAATAACATAAAAAATGTTTGAAAAAATATAAAAACATATAAAAAATTATTCGAACGCTCTTGAAATACTGCACCTGAGTGAAAGTAGAATCAATTGTAGAATCATAACAACGGTTATTGATCTATTCAAGTTCATAAAAGAGAAACATATTGGGAATGGCGTATCAACATGAAGTGACACTAATACTGAACAAATTTGAGAAAAATAATTATCTTTATCGATGATGTATCACAGTGACGTTCCTGAGCCATCATGCTGAACCCCAATCGACAAACTTATAGTCCAAGAACCGGCTCCAAATTTCGACCGTCAACTGATAACGAAATGATCTATGTCCCAAAGGCATGTAAAATCATTGTAGTTTATCGAACGGCACCTGTGCCAATCACTATCCTGAGCAAAATGATTGAAAAATGTCACTTTCCTGTGCGGAAATTTGCACTCGATTTCGCGATTTGACAACGAGATAAGAATTATGCCATCCGATACCAATCGAATGGTAAGCAGAATCCACGGCACAGCGATTGATTTGCTGCTATAATTCCGGAAATACTTTCGTCATGTGATAACAAGTTGAAACGTGCCGCGATTCAAACTATTAATCTTTACAAACCAAAAAACCTGTACAAGGCATGGTCCTGATGGTATTCCATTGTATTTACACTCTCTAATCATTGTAGTGTTCCTGATGATGGAAATAAACATTTCCGAAAGCTTGGATAAACTTTAAAGAGTATTTCTTTTACACTGCTGCTACCCCCAATATACACTGGTTTCATATCATATGTTTATATATCCCTATCATAAACAAATGTGTTTCTTGGGGTAATGAAGAGCAACAACAACAACAACAATAAGTTAGCGTCAATACTTCCTAGAATATTTCGCCCTTGTAGTGTGAGCACCGAGAGTCACACTGGTCCATCGGATATTATCTTTAGACGAGGGCGAAATATTCACGGAAATATTGATGCTCTGCCACTAACTTAGATCAGTTTGAATCGCGGCACGTTTCGATATTCGCATAAGGGACATTTTTTCCTTTCATTTGCTTTTTGTTTCGACTCGTTATCACATGACGGAAGTATGTCCGGAATAATAGGAGCGGATAAATTGCTGTCTCTTGGATTTGGCTCAGACTGAGGGGTGGAACAGGTAAGTTTTTGAGTCTACCATTCAATTGGAATCGGATGGCATAATTTTCATCCCGTTATCAAATCGCGAAATCGAGTGCAAATTTCCGCACAGAAAAGTGCAATTTTTTCCATTTTGCTCAGGATAGTGATTAGCACCGGTGCCGTTCGATGAACTAGAATGTTTTAACTCTCCTTTGGGACATATAACATTTCGTTATCTTCAGCCGGCTCTCCTACTATTAATACTGAATTCCACTAGAATTGGGTGAATCATTTTGAACACTTATTCGACGATTTGATTGTTAATAACAACAACAACTAAAACTTGAAACACTACAAGAAGAACTGTTTCTCCATTGTTAAGCTCATTTTTTTTCTAGAGGCACATTTTTTTTCACCATCACTGCAGATTCATTCACATGCCAGCTTGCTATCGAAACTGCTTAGTGCTATGGCAAACGCTTGTAGGGCACAAAGAGGATATCTACAATAAATAAATAAGTACTTTATAATATTTGTACAGGGTATCTCCGTATATTTTGACCCCCACCTACAGCTTCAACTATACGAGCTGAACAAAAAATCAAATATGAAAGTTGTAGGGTTGGTTTCTGTACAGGGTGATCAGTTAAGGGTAGCGAGCGGCCATATCTCATAAGATATTGGTCATATAGATTGGAGAAGAAAAAAAATCATGATAAAAGTCGCCAAGAGAAATTGCTGAAAATTATTTTAGAGTTTCTCAAACGTCCGGTAGAGGGCGTAACAACCAACACCAAGTAGAAAAATAGGATTTTTATAGAATTTTGTCTTATGAAAGTATGTCGATGATGGCATTTTCATATTCACTGACCATTTCCCTACATTTTTTGTCTGAAACGTTTTGTTCTAGCTATCAAAATAAAGCGGTGGGGGAAGTTCAATTGTTTTTCCAAACAAACCAAGATTTCTCCCGTTTATTTCGACCGATTTTAGCAAACTCAGGGTAATATGAAAGAGCATAATTTGCCCTACAAAACGCTTATTTGGTTTTGAATTTTTGACTTTTGCTGTCGCCGCTAGGGCGTTAACTGAAATGTTTGCAAATTTTTGAGTTTTTTTCAAAAAAATCAAATGTAATGGTATATAAATTTTCATATGTTTTGAAAGAGGATAAATTTATCTATAATTTGATGAAAATAATATATCATCTACCTTTTTTTGAATCGTTGATATTGACCATAACATAATTTTATTACATTAAAAACTGTTTTTTATCAAAATAAAAATCAGTTTTGTAATCTCTTATTAGTTGCTAACGAAAATAACCTCTGACTTTTTTTCGTTAGACAAACGGTTTTGAATTGAAAAAATAAAATAAGTTTACATACTGGTTCAAAATTATTTTAGATATGGGCGCCCTATGTAAACCTATTTTATTTTTTCAATCCAAAACTAGTTAGGCATCTAAAACCCGATTTAATTTTTCTTGTACACTTCCCCAAAAAATTAACACACCACCAAAAATAATCCAAAAGTTTGACATACATTTTCGTCGAAACTATTTGTCCGATTTGGACGGTTTTTGTTTTGAATGATAGGTTATCTTCTTCTGAATACTGGCGTGCAAACGACAGAAATATAAATTATTCAATAATTCATAAATTCTCAATTGAGTATTGGTAATATTCCTAATTAGCAATAAAAATTCAATTGTTCCCTTACGATTTGTGGCTTATTACTTATAATAAACTTGTGTAAATAATAAATAAATTAAGTCACACTAAAGGACATTTGAATCGATGAACGTGACAACCCCGCGCACGACTTTTGGGCGTGGTCTTGTCAGTTCTAAGCATTCAGCACAATGTTGTCAAGGGGAAATTCTAATTTGCTGACCAAATTTACAATTTCAGTATAATATACCATCATTTCAGATTTTATGCTATTGAACAAGATATACTTCTACTACCACCTCGGTAATAACTACTACCACTATCCATACCCGTCCACCCCCTGTGCAGAGGGTGGTTTATCCTTGTGAATTTTGAAAAACACGCCTAAAATAGGTAGAAACACATAACTTTCTCCTAAGTCATGGCAGTATCTTGATACTACCACCGGAGTAGTAGCTACTACCACCATGCATACCCACCCACCCCCTGTACAGAGGGTGGTTTATTCTTGTAGATTTTGAAAAAAACGACTAAAATAGGTAGAAACACATAACTTACTCGTATCTCATGACAGTATCTTGGTACTACCACCTGAGTAGTAACTACTACCACTATCCATACACACCCACCCCCTGTGCAGAGGGTGGTTTATTCTTGTAGATTTTGAAAAAAAATGCCAAAATAGGTAGAAACACATAACTTACTCATTTGTCAAGATAGTATCTTGATACTACCACACGAGTAGTAGCTACTGCCACTATCCATACCCTTAAAAACAGAAAATTTTCATTTTGGTCAGTAAATTAGGTAGTCCCGTTGTCGAGTGTCCAACAATCACATGATATTTTGTAAAGGAAAATAAGGATATTTGGACATGCTGGTTGCTCGAAAAAGTCAAGAATGAACTAAAACATCATGGATTCCTCCTATGTTTTATTCAACGACAGGACTCTAACATCTGTTTGATATCTTAATTTCAATTGGTGACTTGACAACCTTGCTTCATGAGTAGGAATGAAAGATTATCTGACCAATGACGAAACAGCATAAAAACTGACGTCACCATTTGTTCGACGTATTGCCAAATGGCTGCCATGACGTTACGTTTGAAATGAGCTCAGAAATTCAACGATTTCGAGCAACACATAGACTCATTATTTACATAAAAAAGCGTGAGAAGCGTTGCAAGAATTAATTTAGGTTCATAACGAAACAGTGGAGTAATTGAATGCCTATAATTCATTATCAGTCCACTCGCCCATTGGTAGAAAATAAATTTATTAAATTTTCCATAAAATCATGTTACACTATGAAATGGTGTTTCTCGAGTAATGGGATAGATAATGGAGTGAATCCAAAAAAGAGGTGATGAAAACAAATATGGTTAAAGTGTTATTTCCATTCTAAGTTGATAGTGAAACCATTGTCGATTTAAATGAAAACCTAGTAGGCGACCTAATAGCTCTTGCCTACTAACTACCTAACTAGGTTGTCATCTAGAACGACAATGGTGTAACAATTACACTCTACAGGGTATCACACGGTATGAATGTATTTATGCGAAAACAGTTGACTCACCAATGTTCAGAAGGAAATAACCTGTCATTCAAAACAACAAAAATTCAATTCGGATCAATATTTCCTAAACTTTCGGCTACTTTTTGGTGGAGCGTTTATTCCTTGGAGAAGTGTATAAATAAAGTTACCATGTGAAAAAAGGCGGAATCGATTGAAAGAAGAGATTACAGACCTGTAATCCATGGTGAAGACATCCTCTGCCACCCTGCCGAACTGCATGACCACGTAGTCGGCGTCGCTGTCATGGACGATCTGAAAATTCTTGACGGACGCCTGCGTCACTCGTCCGTGAAAATTCAGCACGTACGATTGCGTCTCGTCGTTCCATACGGGCGTCTTGTTGTGTAACTCGATGATATTGCCAGTGTTCTTCGCCTTCCAACTCTCGATCAGACCTTCGCTCTCGTCCTTCAATCAATCAATCAATATCACGAGATTAAGGAATCCAGCAACAACAACAAGAATACGGTTTTGGTCATGATGGACATAGAAAAGGCCTTTGACACCGTCTGGCACGATGGACTAATGTCCAAGTTGTATAAGGCTAAAATGATTTCTATCATTAAGATTATTGATGTATATGTCACAAACCGAAAAATCCGGGTTAAGGTCAACGAAAGTATATCGGGAGATTTTCCACTCGAGGCAGGTGTTCCGCAGGGGTCTTGCCGATGACACGGCGATATATGCTCACTCGTTCGACTCGGATATTGCCAGGACACAAATCCAGATTCATCTTGACATGGGAATCATACCGTACACTGACGAGTCAAAGATCTGTATAAACAGCGCAACGACAAAAGTCATTAATTTTCACAAAAAAATTTAACAACTCAGCGCTTCACAGACCTTTGACCGTCAAAGGGGTTGAAATGGCTGACATGATCACCGTGAAATACCTGGGGGCTAAATTGGACACCCGTATGAGTTTCAGGCCTAATACCAACTATCTCATACAAAAAACGCAAGCGGCAATCAAGAAGATGTATCCCTTGTTATCCAGGACCTCTCCACTCTCAATGGAGAACAAGGTCCTGGTGTACAAGCAGATAGATACTGATAGATACTCTCGAGTGGCAGATCTCCACGAGAGATGTGGTAATTTACCCAAGATCAGATTTTATAAATACCACATCGCTAGAAGTGACCTTACCCGGAACATCATGGAAACCAGACAACAACACAATATACACAAAAAACATGGGTTGACATATGCATCAACCGATGTTTTCAGGGAACCTGGAAATCTATAGTTGGGAATCTCCCCGGAACATCGGATTAAACTGAGGCTCCAGACAACGCTATCTCCCAAAAACGAAAGTAATATAGTGCATAAGCAGCGATGTTTAGGCACTGAACTCGGTCGGATGTAGGCGCGCACCCGAGCCCGGCGATTGGCCCAACAGCCAACGGTGGGAGGGGCGCGCGGGTATATCTAGATCGAGCCAAACAAGGAGGAGGTTTTTGTTTTATATTTTATCTTCCTTCAAGTCCACGTACCACTCACCACTGAAAGCGAATGATCGACTCCCCCACCCTCTGGGTACACTCAGTGAGATTACCTATATAAAGGGCTCAGCCCTAGGAGATAGGTTTCTGAGACAAACACCTCACATATGCACTCATATTTCCTGGCCAACACCAGCTAACTCTGTACCGCGGAGGAAACTACAGGTACAACAGCAACTTGTACCCAAAATCTATATTATAAATATGATTGTAATTATGTGCTGTGATATGTATATAGATTATAGATAATGAAATAAATGAATGCAACTTAAATTCTCACTCGGTTTCATAGTTATTCACAAATTCACTTGGAATTTCAAAATTTCGATACAGCGTTTATTTTCTGACAGCCAAGTCGAATTTCCTCCTAGTTTGTTTGACAACTGAACTCCTAGGCTATACTTGATATATAAAAATTTCTGTAATATACTTAACAATGCTGAATATACACGGTGCATGGCATTGCTCCTTCAATAAAATGAAGAGCTGAATTGATGAAATATGTTGATTCTTCAGTGTTATTAGTGGAAAACATATCATATATACATAGCTCACTTCTCACCCTAGGGTATAATATAGTATTTTGTGCATTCTGCTGTTTATTTCATTGCTCTTCTCAATATTTTTTCAATATGGAGTTAGTACATTCATTTGATAGTAGTATTTCTTCATCGCCCTCAGAAAGCAGTGGTGAAAAGTTCCTTGCTCAAGTTGCTGAAAATATTGTACTTAATTTGGATGAAGGATATGTTGAGGAGACTTTGCCATTTTATTCAGATATACATTTCAGGTGGGTGTCCAAATTCATGTAGGTACAATTCCAATAAAGATACAGGCTTCAAACGAATTGGTTGTCACAAATGTATTTTGGCCTTTTAATGGTTTGCGAGCAATGAATCAACCACATTTAGAGATGTGGCAGATAGATAGATTATAGATTATATATTATATGTTTTTTCGCAAATTCCAAATCAGTCCTAGGATTCGAAACAACTGCGCACTAGTTCTGCGTTCAATTGTCTCAAAATATTCCCTTATGATTTGTGGGTTATTGCTTATCATGAGTTTGTGTGAATAATAATCATATTAATTCACACTAGAGAACATTTGGATCGGTGACCGTGACAACCACGGCGCACGACTTGTAGGCGTGGTCTTGTCAGTTCTCAGCATTCTCAGCATAACTTGATTATAATTGGTGACTTGACAACCTTGCTTCGTGAGTGGAATGGAAGATTATCTGACCAATAACGAAATAGCATAAAAACTGACTTCACCATTTATTTCACGTATCGCCAAATGGCGACCATGACGGTACGTTTGAAATGAGCTATGAAGTTTCAACAGTTTTGAATAACGCATAGACTCATTATTTGAATAAAAAAAAGCGTGAATCAAAAATCAATTTAGGTTCCTAACGACACAGTGGAGTAATTGAATGCAAATAATTCATTAATCTAGAATAATTTTAACAAAATATCTGTACTATATAAAAATGCATCAAAAGTACTGTATCGACTTCCATATGACACCCCATCAAATCAATTTTATGAAGAAACAAATATATTTTCTTTGGAAGAGCACTATCTGATAAATACTCCCAAAATGTCTTTTGATATTATCAACAAACACCTCAAATCTAATTTTATATTGGTAAGTAATTTTCAAATCCATGAACATCATACTAGACAATATGACTTGTTTCATGTTGATGCTGCCAATTTTACACTTGGCCAAAAAATTTTAACTCACGAGGCTATCTCAGAATTCAATAAATTACCTGATGATATCAAAAGTTCCACAAATATCACCGAATTCAAAATTAAAGTCAAGAAACATATCCTCTTGCAAAGAGAAAATCAAACCTGAGTGAATGATTTCTCATTCACTAATTTATTTCATCATGTTATAATGTTGTACTTTTCATGAGCTTTTTGTGTAATTATTATTATTTTTGAATCTGTTGTTTATTTCAATAACTTAGATTTAATAACACATGAATAATCTCATACCAGATATGAATCTGTCTGATTATTCATGTTATTTCATTGAAAATCTTATATTTATATGAGATGCAATGTAATGTTTATATCAAAGAATGAAATAAATATTATTATTATTCGCAATAAAAAATAACACGTCGCCCCACCTGACGGTAACAACTTGAACACTTCTGAGCGGTTTGTTTTGATGACCAATAAGCACAAACAAAAAACATATGTTAACCAATAAAAACAAAGTACATAGGCCGCTTTGACAGCTTTCAAGAAGTCCAATAAGTGGCGTACGCTTATTTTCTATGGCGAATTATTATTAAATCAATTCCATTCTCGCACTTACCTGCGGATAGAGGATGACGCGCTGTTCGTCCACCATGCCCGGTATGAGGACGGTCATCTTGCGCGGCCCCTTGAAGCCCAACACGTTCGTGTCGTAGATGACGGAGGCGAGTTCCTGACGAGGCAGCACGCCCTCCTTCGGATCTGCCTTGCGCGGAGACACGCCTCCGTCGAACACGGTGAACTGGGTGCCCAGCAGATTCGAACGCAGCTTGCCTGACAACAAACAAATACAACATACTTGCCTAACTGAGAGTTGAAAGCGGCCCTAACTTCTAAGGCAAAATGTGAAATTATTTTTTCGTGCAATCGTACACGAAGAGGGTATTTCAGTTTACACTCTTCACAAATTAATGCATAACCAAATCGATTGCTCTGTACTTTTTGGATGTATGATAAATTGACATTCATCATACAGGACGTGGAAGTAATTCTGAAATGAGAAAACCTAATCAAGAATCTGCGATTGAGGTGTATAAAAATAACAAGTTTCCATCCCCTCAGGGACTCACAACTTGTGAGTACGGGAATGGTGAATCCGAGGTACCCTAGCCGGATATTCACCATACTTCAACTTGTCTTGGGTGATATCCTCTGCTCTCTTCCTTTTTCAATCTTTCTATCGGCATTTCTTGGCCAACTTCTCTTTTCCTCCTTCCCTTCAAGCCCAACCTCACCATCAAGTGGTGTGGGGAGGACAGACCGCGGCCGCTCGACGGATGAAGCATTTTGGGACCATCTTTGCTATCTCCGGGCCAGATGGGATAATTTGTGGATATCTGTGGCAGAGATGGGGCGATTTGCTGATGTCTGTCTAGGGGCCGAGGAATGGTCGACGAGGCTCTGGCAACCTAATCCAAGCTGTGGGAACCCGTGGTGATGGATGAATGGCACCAAGGTATGGTGTCGCTAACGGGGCCTCTGGGAAACAGGGCGACATCTCAGAGTGAGTAGCCTTAGCCCTGTGCTGGGGCACCACAGGGCTGGACCAATCCCTTCCCCCGTCACTCGTAGGAGAAGGAAAACTTTTGGCCTTCTTCGTAGACGAGAACAGGGATCGGAAGAGTAATCTTCAGGAACCTGAACGAAAAGGGTCTTTCATATTGAAGTGGCCCTTAATGAGCACCATATATAGTATATGGTAAAATTGATAACGGCATGTAGGTAAGATACAATGGGCCACTAGGCCTAAGTGTCGTCGGAGACTTCGGTCAGACGAGTCTACAAACGGGGTGGAGTGTTTAGTGGGTATACCTGGAGTCAGGGGACTCCCGAACTATCATATGGGGGATTGGACCCATATGGTGTCAATAAAGGATTTCAACCACCTCGATGAAAAAAAAAAGAAAAAAAAAACAAGTTTCCATCATACAAGTTTGAACCCCTTGATTGGGTGAAAGTATTGAAAAGGAATAATCAATATAAATTTTTTTGTGTTCATAAATAAATCTGTATATCACAATACATAGATACATAATTCAAATATAAGGAGACAGGGCAGCGTTAATATCTTCAACCTTATGAAAAAAGGCTTGCAGGAATCCATTCTCTGAATGCCCAGCCATTTTTTGAGCCAGAAAAAAATCCTTCGCTGATGTAGATGAAAATTATACCATAAGGGATACGCGAATCCACTTGATCAAAGTAGAGACTACACAACTGATTTAAATTCAAGGTATATCTCAGAGACCTGAGTTGAAAATTTATGACATTAATTTGTTTTACAATGTATTCACAGTGCTTATTCCAGGTAAGACATTCATCAAGAAATACCCCTAAGAATTAAACAAACTTCTTATTCGTGTTTAGGGTTGATTCACCCACCCTAAAGCTCAGATCATTACATTGTTTTTGTCTTGTATGGAATCTAACTGATGAAGTCTTGCTGCTATTGAGAAACAAATCATTGTTTGCGAACCATTCCTGTAGAATAGAGAAAGTGTTGTCGATTTTGCCTATTAGTTCTTAACCAGCCCTATCAGAGATCATTATCGAGGTATTGTCAGCATAACAGGTGAGGGATGCTGGAACATTCATTCGTATAGAGGTTAAAAAGTATTCATTTATATTCGATGCGAATGCGAGAGACCCGAGTGCCCTACTCACCAACAAAGGATTCGGCGCTTCTCGACAGATCCGTGGGATCCGTGGACACCAAATAGTTGCTGGTGGCGCTCTTCTTGCGTTTCCTGGCCGCCAGCAGGAACACCTTCTTGCCGTAGTCCTTCTCCAGGTGGAGGTAATAGGTGGGGTAGAAACCTCTGTCCACGCCCTTTCTGTCCCTGGTGATGCGACACTTGTAGAGCACCTTCAGCTGCGCCGGTTGCACCACGAACTTGTCAGCGTTGCCTTCGATGTCGCCCTCGGTCTCCGTCATCTTCATTATTATGAATAATGAGTAATGAATTCATTCATATGAATTAGTTCAGTGATTCAGTTGGGGAATTAATTCGAATCTTTTTTTACATAAGTCATGAATTATATCAAAATTTCTCCAATGGGAACATATCGCATATATGGCATTATTACCTAAACCACAGTAATTTTTTTTATCGCTTGGTGCTCACGAAAGGGAATTCCTATAATAGTCAGTCACTCAGTCAGTAGTAGCTTTATTGTTTGAAAAATAAATATTTTTGTAACACACCAGTCAATATTGTAGATATAGTAATAATTAAAAATATATAAGAATAAGTATATATCAAAAAGTAGACCTATCTACATACATAACCAACTAAAATAGAAAATTAAAAACAATAAGTGTAAAGCGACATATCTCCATAACAAGGTACACTTATAAACACAAAAATAAAAACAACACGTGCATAATACCTCACAATATAATCATAATGTCATCAATTCGATGAATTAATTGAATTGAAGTTATCATCATACCATTTGTACAAAAAGGTCAAAAAGAACAATATAAAAATTCTTCAATCGTATATATCGGATGTTTTAATAGCATGTTTTTCACTGCTCTTCTGAAACCATAATAAACACCAATCTTTCTAGTGACTTCTGGCAAGTGATTATATATTTTCAAACCATTATAAATGGAAGAGTTCATTACAAAAGTGGATGTTGGTGTAGGTAGTCGAATATTATTACTATCCTGTCTAGTATTATAATCATGGGCTCTATCAGGAAGGATGTTTTGTCGTCCTGATAAGATGGGAGGAGTATAGTGAGCAGTTCCTGCTTTTAGTTTTGTTACATATATCTTAAATCTTGAACCTTAAAATTTATTGCATAAAACGTCAATTATGTCGCAGCCTTTATCGTCGGTACCTTTGATGTTCGTTACCTCATTTTGTTTACTGCGCAACAAGCCACATGCACCAGGCCATCATTTCAACACTTGGAGCAAAATATCGAACAATCCGATATTTAAGTCGTTACCTTCAATTTTAATTATCAGATTAAGATATTAATTATTAGAATAAGTCTTTTGAGACTCGCAAGTCTCGGATTATTTAGATGGTGAAATAAAAATAGCAAATACCTATCCTAACATCAGGTGGGCACTTCGAAGGCGCAAATTAATTACTGCATGGGAGAAACCCTTCAGATTCCTTGCTATTCAGTGACTTATCCACTAACGACATCGACGTTTTAGTCTTCTGTCATCCAAAATCGAGACGCCACGACTCGATTTGATATGAATAAAAAATTTCAGTGGAAAGATACAACTAGTTCTTAGAAGATTAAACTGAGGCTAAACTAGTTTAAACTGAAATATCGGATGACATCGGACATCTGACAACCGTGAAGCGCCCACAGGCATAAAACTAAATTTTGATGAGCCACTTTACAGTTTCCAATTTCTCATTGCATGCATTTGATTGCTCCAATTCATATTTCCGGCAAAAATAATATGTTGTCACTGAATCGGAATGACCGGCTTGCAATGTCTTTTTGTCATAAATTATGTGTATTACTTCTTACTGAATTATGAATTGGGTAGAAGAAACCATGGGAACAATAACACCCAATGTGAAACTAATGATAAATATAATGCATGAGTATAATAATAATTACACCTTCTTTATTGAGTTGAATACATATGATATACAATCATTATTACTCAATTTTACTGGCTATCGACCTAGGTCCTTCAGCCTTTGAGTCTATACTAATAATATACTATTAGTCCTACTTGATTTTCTTAAATGATCACTATAGATTGAAAAAAAGAAAGAATTATATAACTTTTGTTGAGCTGAAATTGTTAAACCAATCGCAGAAGTATTTCAATGAGTGGTTCTTCTGGGTGTTTGTGTATGGTCTGAACATCGGGGTTTCTTCTGATGCAGAATTCTTGTAGTATCTCCATGTTGCTGTGTTTTCGGCATAGAGCAGTGGGTTAGGTGGATTGTGAAGCGGATTGTTGAGGTGGCGAATTTTCGTTATTTTTCTGATTGCAGATGTTTCAGCTACTTGCAGTTTTTTCCTGATGCCTGTTTTGCAGTTTAAGAACAGATTGGCGTAATCTATCATTGGACGGCATATCATTTTGAAAATACTGCTTGCTGTTGTCCGATTTATCCCTTTCTTCTGGATTGTCTGGGTCGCTCTTGATATCATATTTTTCTTTCTTTGGTTTATATGCTGGTTAAAACTCATCTTATTGTCGAACGTAACTCCTAAGTGTTTGACTTGCCATTCAGGATGAAGATTGTGCTGATTAAAAATGATGGTAGGCGATCTATCAGTTCATCACTAGAATTGCAATAGTAATAAAACTTGCCACAACATAAATAGGTCCGGAGCCATTTCTTGCAATTCAGCGAAAAATTGCTGTCGAAATTGACAATAACGCGTAGGCGGACAATGAAAATGGCTACATTTTTTATGAAAAATTGCGAACTGTGAAGTGCCTCTAATGTAGATTTTGAAAAAGTAAAAAGATGCATAAGCCTTCATTATTTTTCATTAAATCAATAGTTCCAGTTTGGTTTGATAAAATTACATGTTTTATAATGTTATGCTTTGAGATTTTCAATGAAAATAAAAACTTTGAAGAATTTGATTTTTTTCAAGTGAATTAAATGAAAAAAGTCGTTGGAGAAGTCGGACTTTTCTGACATTTTCATATAAATTATCATTATTCCTTATTCTAACCCTGCTAATTAGCGATTTTCCGACCTTGGGAGCTTCCAGTGTGCCCATGAAGTTTATGAAAAAACGCCGTACAGTCATGGCAGATTGAGGGATGGTGGCTATAAAGGCAATGCCCCCACCTCATCTTATGAATATAAAGAAGCTTCCTCAATTACAGACACAAAGGGACATAGTGCAGGCAAGACTCAAATGCCATCTGCACTTATTACAGAAAGTCAGACTCCCTGAATATTTTTTTATTTTTCTTTGCTTCAATTCGCGAAAATCACGAACCAATAGATGGCTCTATTAAACGTCAAATCAACGTCAAATTTCAAACTGAATATGAACAACAAAAACATTGCCGTATGCACTCATTGCAAATTGGTTATTTCGAAATCATTTTGCAAAATAGTGAATAATGAGTTGACTTCGTGAAATACGTACAAGGTTTCCAAAAATTACTTTTTGTGCAGAGAAATTGCCATTTTGATGTGGACAATGGTGGTATTCATCATTGATATCACACTACAATTCCACAGTTTTCAAACATATGGAATGGTCGGAATGGTCCACTCAACACTTGCATGGACTGGAATGGAGCCATATCAGCAATCAGCTATCACAACAATATGGTATAGGTATGAAGGAATAATTGAATTCATAAAGAAATATCACTGGCTTTTATGATGGAGATGGAATTCTAGTGAAGGGGCTGGGAAAAGAAGATATGGTTGGAGAGGCTGCTCAGAATGAACAATATCATCGATTTACATAAACAAGGATCTCCAGCAATTGAAGACTTGAAGTTATTCTCAAGATCAAATCATTGCACCCAACATTTATACAAGAATTTTAACTGTGCTTCAGAAAATGTATATTATATTATTATAAGGTAGGTACTGGCTTCTTCATTGTAAACAATAAAAGTTCATGCAATAATTCGAGTTTTTTCATCAGGGAAAAATGAGGTTCTGGAATATGCACTTCAACAAATAAATTATTTTCAAATAAAACACAGAAACTCAAAACAATGGTCGCCATATTTGTTGTTCATACTCGCAAGACTTGTAAAGTTAGCCACCAGAGGCCGCACACTTCGTGATTTTCGCGAATTAATGTGTGGAGAAGTCAGACTTCTTTGACATTGTCATAAAAATCATGTTGTCTTAATCCAACTATGCTAATGAGCGATTTATTGACCTTGGGATCTTTCAGGGTGCCCATGAAATTTATGAAAAAACGCCATACAGGGTCATGGAAAGATTAAGGGAGGGTGGCTATAAAGGCAATGCCCCCACCTCACCTTATGAATATAAAGATAAAGAAGCTTCCTCAATTACAGAGACAATAGTGCAGGCAAGACTCAAAAGCCATCTGCACTTATTACAGAAAGTCAGAGTCACTAAATATTTTTTCTATTTTTGTTTGCTTCAATTAATGTGAAAACTACTTAATACCAAAAATTAGAATTCCCGAGGGGTAAATCTCCAGGAAAAATGTGTACACTAGACTTCCAATTAACATAGACTTCCAAAGACATCCAAAGACATCCAAAGACTTCCAAATACTTCCAAAGACTTCCAAAGACATTCAAAGACTATACCAAAGACTTCCAAAGACATCCAAAGACTTCCAAAGACTCCCAAAAACTTCCAAAGACATCCAAAGAATTCCACAGACTTCCAACGGAGTGTACACCAGACTTCCAAGGAGATTTACCCCTTGAGAATTCCCCATAGTTCAAACCATTTCAAACTATTCAGATTGGTTTGGCATTTTTTGACTGCTGACCCAAATAGCTATAACTTTCTATCACCTGTGAATCATCCCCTGGATCCCTCAAATTCAGGGAAAAAGACTTACAAGTATCCTGCTGCTCTCTAGGTTTTTTTTAATGAACAGATTATTGTTTGCTTGGAACAAAGGAAGACATTGTGGCAAATTGGGGTCATTTGAGTTGAAAAAACTATTTTTTTTGTATGTATGACTAATTGATATTCATCATATAGGATGTGGAAAATTCTGTTGAATAAACTGGGAAAGAATTAATATTTTCATCACATAGAGAATGCGAATTCTCAATGTATTTCTTCATATATATTGTATATCCATTATTTCATATTCATACTTTGTCTGAGAATATTCCTTTTCAATGCAATTTCTCTATTCTCCTGTTGTTACTTTAACTATACTGGGAGTTTTTATTCAACCACCACATGACTATATTTTGACAAAAAAATTCTAGCAGAATCCCTATTGATTTCAATTTGTCATGGAATATTAAAAAATTTTAAACAAAACAATTTGTCAGGCAATTTATCTTTCACATTGCCATCTAACTACTCCCAAGACATTCAATATTTTCCCCAGAAATCATTAATATTTGATTATCAATACCATGAATCAATAAGTAAATACTCTAATGAAACATCACAGAGGATAAGGATACTGAAATAATTGATTAGGCACTCAATATTAGTAGTAGTAGTAGTAGTATATGTATATTCTGTTTAAAAATTTACAAGAAATCTTACATTGTCGAAAAAAAACATTTTGCAAGAGTATAAAATATTGTAAAAAGAAAAAAGGTACTTACATACCAAATAGTACACTATCCAGAACTAGTATCAAATTTTCAAATTTCTAATGAAATCAATAATATCTTGAATATTTTGAGAAGCATTTTTCAGTAGAAATGATTTTATTACAGAGCCCAAACAAGGCATACTCAAGTCTTCAATATCTTCATTTAAGTTATTGTAAGCCAACAAACCATAGTAAGAGGTTCCAGTCTTTGATCTGTTCAGGGGTAATGAATTTGGATAAATGTGATTTCTACATCAAGTATTGTAATCATGATTTTTTTTTGACAAATGAAAATCTATCAGGGGTTATTTTTTACAAATGTTAGAATGAAAATATCATGGGAAGATTGAATGAAGACTGGCATAAAAAAATGTGAGTAATCTAAAATAAGATGTTGTGGGCATAACTTACCCCATTATTTTGATGAATGAAATTTGGTTTGTCTGCAATTATAGGGTTAACAGGCACATTTCCATTGTCATTGGGTGTAGTTGCTATTGGGGATGATTCATCATCCTCAATATCCATCAGATCTGTGGACCCATGGTTGGTCAACTCTTCCACAATTCCATCTACACTGTCACCACTTGAAATTGATATTATTTGATCAGGATTATTGTCCATTCCCATGGAATACTGCAGGGGTCCATCATATCCTGAAATGTCAAACAATAAAGCTCAACATACTAATGTATGGGTATAATCATGAGAATCCTGAAATGTGAGAGCAATTATTGAAAAATAATATCTATTAAATACTTTATCTTCAATTGAATGTAACTTTTTTAATCAAATATTTGTCAATATTCACTCTCATTCTCAAAAATCTCCTGATAGTCTTATAAGGAATAATCTGGCAAATGATGAAAATTTGTACATTATAGCCCAGCATCCAGCAGCAATTTATTTTTATGAAGATAGAGAAATTAAAAATGTCCCATTCTCACCATGCAATTCTCTTCTACTAGCACTTCTTGGGTTTGCTGAGCTGTTTCTCACATCAGAAATTTGCACCATTCCAGAAGGCATTCTCTTCTGTTTCATCTTCTGCTCCATTATCTGGCGCTGTAATAAAATCTTCATTCAATTCAGAGCACAACAAATATTATAATCTTAAATTTGATTCCATTTGAAGAAAAAAAACAGAAATACCTGTTGTTCTAGTTTTTGGGTTCTCACGTCCATTCCTCTAATTTCTCCAACAGTTTTATCAATTATCATTCACGTATTCACGTATACTTGCTCCAATTTCCGTTTGTTGTTGATTATTGTTACTCTTGGAGATGAGATTTATCGATTTTATTGTAACAGGATCTAAAAAAGTAATTGTGGTAGTGGTAGAATCACATTATTTGTTTATTATTATTATGAATTATTATGATTGTCAGATCCTCTAGCACATGACAACATTGACAAACAACATAATAGGTGCGTTCGGTTATAACATATCTGTTAGCTCGATTCCATCTGTTAGCTCGGAAAGCGTTCGATAAATCAGATAAATCTGTGTAATCTACTCCGTGTTCGTTAATTGTCAGAGCGAGCTGAAAGATGTAATCTGTTTGCTCCGCCTTGAGGAGCAGATCATTCAGATTTGAGCGGTTATTCGGTTGTCAGTTGTCAACAAATCAATGTCAACAACATGTTATTAAAATTATATCTCTTTTATGTCGAAAAATTAAAGACTGGATCAACTGGAAACGAAACACGAAACTGAATTTTGTAGAATCCTCCTTGCCCAGAATCGCCAGAGTGACCGACGAATTTGCTGTAGGTAGCATATTATTAATTATATATCTGTAATATATGCGATCACTGCCCTGGATCCACAGTTAATGACCGATCATATGAGACAGAATCATTCCTTCCCTAGTAATTTTCAAAATATAAACAACAAACATTCAATAGAACTTTGTTGCCCTGACGTGTTTTTAAAAGTAATAAGGTTAAGTGAATTGTTTCTGTTTTCTGTTACTTCTGACAGCTGGCGCTCGCGATCTACTACCTCCTTGAGCGTTCGTTAAATATCTTTAGCTCTATCTGCTAGGTGATCACGTGACACCAAATCTGCATCTGCTCGCTTGGCTCCGATTTTGTTAAACCGAACACACCTAATATATCATATATCTGTCAAAATCAGAAAGATTCGTTGCCGTGTTGCCGTACTTTCAGAAAGATGGCAGAGTTCAAATTAGAGTACCTCGATACGGTGTTTCTACTTCTTTTCATTTCATCCTTTTTTTTTAGTTCAGTTTTTGACCACGGCGGTAAATTTGAATTGCTGGATTGGCGATATTTTTTTCAGGCTCCCTTCTTAAATTTGACCCTTTTGAACTTATATTAACGCTCAGCACATTAAAACTGAAACACATCAACAAATTTTACATTTTTGATACGTACATATTCTAATTGAAACATCACCTTGTATATATTCACATATTCTAGTTCAACAGATCAAAACAAGTGGAATCTTATGACAAGTTGTTTTCCACAGCTTATTTGGAAAATTATCCGAACTGCAAGGAAATTCTTGAAACTATAAACTTAGTTGTTGATTTTTGAATGTATACAATTTGTTACTGCACCGAAATACAAAAATGATCTACCCCTTCAAAATCATCACCAAAAGTATGATTCAAAAATAAATAAATTCTGCACAAAACATAGCCTATTATGGGTATAAAATGTTCACCAAGGATGTTTTCTGTGCAAAAAACGGTTCCATTTACTCACAAAAAATTAACGTTTTTTTTTCCAAATTCCAAAACCCTGAATCTAGAAAATTGTGCGTTTTAGTGGGCAAGTTAATATAAACTGTTTTTCATATTTTAGGACAATGGAGCTATCACATCCTGAATTTCTGCGCATATATTATGAAACACCCTGTATGACTGTACAAAATTTCAGAAAAATCCGTTGTTTGTAGTTTCCATAGATTTTGGAAAAATTGTAATAATAAATACATTATTCCCTGAAAATATATTATTTTGCCTTAAAGATGTGAAACAAGAAAATGGATGTTGTAGAAAGTATATTCCTTATTATTATAATTATCAGATAAACCAGTATAAATTATCTATGACTTGATGGACAAATACATTTTTCCTTTCAATGTTTGTTTGACAGGATTTATTTTCTTCAGGATTTGAGTCATAATGTTAACTAGCTGTTCACTGGATAGTCCAGTTTTCTTGGACTTAAACTTTTGAAGTAGTTCAGTGGTGGTCATTGGTTTCCTCATCAAATATTTCCTAACAGCATCTTCTGTTATACCAGATTCATTAGATCCCATGGTACTGAAGGAGGGAAGTTCCATTTTGGATTTTTTGGGACTTGGTCCTGCCAGAGCATCATTGGTCAATTTTCTCTTTCCATCTGTAGTAGGAGTTGCTGATCTTGAACTATTAGCACTACCAGGAGTTTTTTCCTCCTTCTTTTCTTTTTCTTTCTTTTTCTTCAATTCTTCATCAGAACTGCTGTCAGAGCTGAAATCATTATCTTCTTCTTTGTTTTCTTTCTTTGCCTCTTTCTTAGCATCTTTCTTGGGTTTTTTCTTCTTTTTCTTCTTATTTTTTTCTTCACCCTCTTCATTGTTCTCCTCCTCCTTTTCTTTTTCTTCATCTTCATTACTTTGTTCCTTGTCAGATTTATCTTCTTCATCTGTCTCTTCATCAGAGTTCAACAATTTTCTCAATGCCTTTTCTTCTGCTACTCCATCTAGGTTTACATTCTCAGGCTCACTATCACTACTATCACTAATGTAATCCAGTTCTCTGCCTTCCCCATCTCCATCATCAGAATCCTCAAAGGCCTCCCCATCAGTGTCCCTCTTCTTTTTATCTTTTTTTGGTTCAACTTTTTTCACTTTCTTCTTGTCTGAATCACTTTCCTCTTTTTCTTTCTCTTCATCTTCAGAATCATCCCCATCAGAACTTTCCATCCACTCATCCATATCAGAAATTTTCAACTCTTTCTCTTTCTTTTTCTTCTTGGTTTTTTCCTCTCCTTCTTCTACCTCAGTGTCTTCCTCTCCTTTGAGCCTCTTCCTCAACATCAAAGAGAAATAATTTGTTTGTTTATTGCGTTTGTTGAACTCTAGTTCAGCCTCTTCAGCAGATAATGCTTTATATCTTTGAATAGGCTGGAATTTGTACCATTCATGTAATGGAAATGCCTCAATAGCCCCATCTTCAGCATGTGTGAAAACATAATATGCAGTGTTGTTTGAAACACCTCCTTCTCTGATACCTTTGAATTTTTTCACTGTACTTCCAAGTGATTTCAGTATCCAAGGTTGATTGTCTGCATTGTATTTTTTTGCTATAATGCCCAATTTTTTACGCCGAGCTTCTTCCTTTGCTTCCCTTCCAAACTCAGAACCAGCACCAAATTTTGGTTGATCTTCATCAAAACCCTTGTATTCCCTCATGTTGTTTTCCCGTTCCATACTAACTTTTGTCCATTTTGCAAAGTCTACATCTAAGGTACCATTGAATCGCATTACATGGTATCTCTTCTGGACTGTCTTGGGTACCCTTATGGTAAATTCTTGAACGTTCACAGGTTTTGATGGTGATGCCATTGATGACATGTTCACATTTAGTTTTTAATTATAAAAAAATCTCTGATAATCCTCAAAAGATTATCAACATGAAATGAACAGCTGTTCTTCTTGATTCTTGTGAAAACACGAAAACTGGAAAACTAGTGATAAAGTGAAAACTGGAGACAATGACAAGCAGTGACAGAAGGCATCATAACATAACCCCAAAAAGGTTCATGTATCTTTCTCTGTCTTTTCTTCATAAAGAAGTGGCGTCTCATCTCACTGGCCATAAGGGGTCATAGTTTGTAAGTTAATTGATTGATGGAATTCAAATATTGAGTACTTACTTCGCAAATTTTGCTAGCTGAACTCAATTTCCACAATGGTCGCTTCATATTTTGTTTCCATTTCTGTAGGTGTTGTTTATCATGGGGGAAATGGAATAAATGGAATAATTCTCTTGTGTTCTTGCAGTTTTCAACTACACAATCACCCATTTTAATTTTTGAAAGACAGACGCTGGAGGCAAAACATTGAAACATAACGTCACTTTTCTTATTTGTTTACAAGTGATCGAAATAGTTTTCCACAATTATTTTGGCATATGAATCGTATTTTTCCGCTATTCTTCAATTCGCTCATGCCATCACATTGTGCTGTTGTAAAATGCACAAAAACTGCAGCGGAAGATGAACGAATCCGGATGGTACATTATGATTTAAAAGTAAGTACCTACTCATACCTACTATAGTCACTCACATATAGTTTTCATTTTTGAAATTTGGTTATTTCTCTGATTTCTCATCGGAATTCCTTCTGCAATAAGAGCTAATAGAAATATACCTGAAATTTCTAGAATAATGCAAGAAGATTGGATTCATGCAATCAATCGGAAGGACTGGTCTGACATGCAGACGATCATTTGTGTTGTAGACATTTTCAATCTATTAGCAGTATTAGCTTGTATTGCAGAAGTGGCAGAAGGCAGAAGCAATTTTAATAAGGAATGACAACATTTCATAATGATAACTATGTGAGATTACTATTTAACTGAAAAATCATATTCCCTAGTCTCTTGCTGCATTTTTTGTGCATTGTACAACAGCACAATGCGAAGGCATGCTTGAATTAATGAATAACGCAAGAAACACGATTCGTATGCCGAAATATTGTGAAAAACTATTTCAACCTTTTGATTCCTCTGTAAACAAATGAAGAAGTGAAGTTGTGTTTCAATAACTCACAGAAGAATGAGGTTGTGTTTCAATATTTTGCCTCCAGGGTCGGTCATCGTGCACGCGACCTATTTAGGTAGTTACGTCGCCTACTAGGTTTTCATTTCGACAATGGTGTCCGTACGCTTATTACAGCAAAACTGTCAAATACATACAGGGCAACCTACTATTCTTTGTACAGGGACTCTACTGGAGACTGGAAAGACAGAAAAGTAAACTGTAACTGATAGTACTGACACGGAATATGTCAATGACCTTCAATATGCCTTCAATCTTGATGACCAGGCGGATAAACAGAAGATGGTGTAGAAACTCCATAGAAACTCCTATCAAATCCCATAATATACTGTTCTTCAGTTAAAGTTCCTGACCTTCGGTAGGTATATGGACCTACGGCCTACTTGACAGAAGGATTCTTTTCAATATCGCGGAATATAGATCGCATTATACCCGTTAGATGGCGGTAGAACAACTGATGATAATTAAAATTCCCCAAAATTACAGTTTCGTACTTTCAAATTTATTTTTATTCGATTTGAGGTTATATTATTATTAATCATTCCAGAATAACGTCATTTGACAGGTTGCTGAGGGGCAAACATTGTAGTTTGTTAAGAATTGTCATATAAAACCAGAATTAGTGGGATCGTTTTCCTTGGAATCTGAGTTGGAAACTGAAAGAATTTCATAATTTTGTTTAGTGAAACTGTTATTATATTGTGGATGTGGCAGGGATGGCCAGGGCTATGCTCATAAAAGGCAACCTAACAGGTTTGTGTGCCCCTCAAGAAACCATGTCAAAATCACGTGTTCTAGAATGGTCAATTTCTGGTGCAAGCGGTGTGCAAACGCCGTTTTCTGTCATGAAAGAAATCTGTAAAAAGTGTCGCCATCTTGCGGACAACTGAGAACTAATATGTCATTATTGCGGAATCTGCGGTCAAGCCACAGCCACTGACAGCTGTTGGGGTTTTCAATATTTTGTTTCATTTGGTTTGTCCACCTGACAATGTGACGAAACACCATAGTCGTCCCGCCCGCTTTTTTTAATTATTTCGAATTTCTGTCACTGTCACTTTGAAATTCTATGACCGCCAAAATTTAGCATTTTGAATTATTTCAATTTCCTGCTGCGTACATTATTGCGACAATTCATTAGAAAAGGGATTCAAGTTATTATTATTATTCAATAGTTATTATAGTTAAAATAGCCCTATTTCCCACTTCTACCTACGGCTATGAACGGTTTGACAAATAATCTAACCCTAGGGGAATTGAAAAGACAGAGCTCGATATATATGTCTTATTCCTTTATTCAATCATCAATGCATTTTTTGAAAACAGAAAAGGACAGAAGTATAGCTGTGTCTGGACTCTTATCTAGAAAACACTATCTGTCAATCTGTCATTACACCATATTCTATCATCCACCTTGTTGATGACGATCAAGGTGGATGTTCATCTTGATGAAGATGTTCTCATGAGGATTGACGGCTTATCTGCCACACTGTCTTCCAATCATCGAATCATCACAGATATATTGAATAATTCCTTGTGCAAAAATGACGGGATATGTTCATATTTTGTTTTTGTAGCATAAAAATATGTCACATAATGAACAATTTTTTTTTTCAAGAAAAATTTTCGACAATAAAACAATAACTATTCCAGTAGGATATTTGAAAACAATATACTTATTGAAGATTCATAGCAAGCAATAATTATATTCACAATGTGTAATTATAGGACTAAATTGCTTTAATTTTTTTCTATAACTAGTAATATTACTAAAATTAGCATATTTCAGAAAGGAAAAAATCATAGAGAATCAACTATTTGATTTCATCAGTAATATTGTCCCAACGTTTTTTTTAAATGCATAGAATAGCAAGAAGAAAACAGTAAAAAACTTACCATTTTATTTTTACAAAATTATTGTGGAATATTTTCGTCAGTTATGTTATAAACTAGAGTTTGTTTCTCAAATTTTCTTTAAATAATATTAAATAAAGAACTTGAAGGTTTTTTTCTTTATATATTCATATAATAATTGATCAATATGATCAATTTGACAATAAAATACTCCTATGTACGACTTGATTCAAGAAGTGATGGAATCCAAGTATTTCTCAAAGGCCAACACTTTTCTCTGCTCTACATCCAGCCTCATCTTCAACAAGCTCATTCTCTCCATGTGCCTCTTTTGCTTGTCGGCCATCTTCTTTTCACAGCATCGGCACTGGTCACAGTGGGTCACCCCAACCTTAAAAAAATGTTGAGGCATGTGTTCAAGAATACAAGAGATAATTTGAAAAAAATACATCCTGAAGCCAAGTGCTATCAGTCCTAATCATTTTGACTGGCCTTTCCTGACATTTAACCTAAGAAACCATAACAGATATACCAGGTGAGTGAGATGGCATGGGGATCTCGGAAACGGTAAGGGCTAAAAAAGGGTTAAATGGAGGCAATTTTATGACTAATAAATGCTGTTTTGAAATTTGAGAAATTTTTAATAATATAACCACAGTATACACCAGGGTGTAACTCCCTGTTTTAAATACGGCCCTGTTTTTTTTTTAATTTTAATGGTCACAGAAAAAAATAGAGAAAGAAAACACCCAGTATGTATAAAAAAGGAGTTTTTATGTGAATACAGTTTAGAAGAAAATATCCTGTCTTTCAAAACAAGAAACCTCAAAAACGGCCAAGTACTTTTCCTAAACTTTTGGCTACTATTTGGTGGTGTCTTAATTTCTTGTAATGATGGAAGTAAGATATTGTAAAAGTGTAGATATGTTTGATATGTGTCTAATACCTCGGTATCAGTTTTAGTATCAAAAACCGCGTCGAATTCAGCTTGAAAGGCGAAACTGCCTTTCCCTGTTGGTCCCTTATTGGCCACATAGTCTTTGTAGAGATTCGACCACTTTTCCCAACACTCCGTGGAAGTCTTGTGGATGTCCTTGGAGTTCAGCATCGTCGAGATTTCCTTCCAGTCGATGACCTTGTCTGTCGTGTTGGTGATGGCTTTATTGTGTTCTCGATATGCATTTATGAGAGCGACGGTTTCCGACCTCGACCACGAAACGCTTTTAGCTGTGTTTTTTTCTGAAATAACAATATACCAGGTGACCCGGATGCATATTCATATGTTACCGACACAAAACGACAATCGGATTTGCGAGCGAATCCGGACCATATACGTATTAATAAACAATACGGATCATAACGGGTGCCAGGATGAAGCCAAAAATATGAAACAAATGAATATCCATAAGGATTTGGTAGCATGATACGTAGTCATCAAAGACATGCGTTTCGGTGGACAATGACGTTTACTAGCCTTTCAATCAAAGCAGTATGTGTCTGATCGTATCTCACTTTTCCTTATGGATAGTCATTTGTCTTCAAAAATCGGCTTCATGTTTCGCTATGGAAACAGATAGAGATTATCCGTATTGATTATTAATACGTATATGATCCGGACACGTAATAAAAAGTTACCGGCGTAATTTTCAGTTTATGTCTGTTTCTAAACGGTTGGTAACGAGCCTGTGACTGTATGCTGGCAGTGGAAGAGATGCAGTTTTTTCGTCATAGAAACGTTTTCAACCCTGCAGTGGACGCATTGGGTCTCTTAGGCCCAAGCAATCATACTTTTGCTTGTGGCATTTTTACATAAAAGGGCGTACTGCTAATAGCCTCAGTACCTTCGAGCTAGCCCATAATGCATATACTACAGTAGTTTCAACGCAATGTATTAGAGAACAACGATTTTAGATCAGATTTTGGTCTTGCGTACCCGACCCGTTTCTTTGTGTAAGTATTTTTTATATACAAGGTGATTCTTGAATAGGTGGTCAAACTTTTGGAGCATATAGATTGGGTAAAAAAGTTACGAAAACCTCCGTAACAGTTTTTTCTGAAGTGACCCCCAAGAAAGATACAGCCCCTCAAAGGGGGGGTCTCGGAGAATGATTTTGTAATATTATCTCCAACACCTTGTATAATGCAAATCTGAAATTTTGTCCATCCACTTACTATTCAGTGCCGGTTCGAATGGAGTTGAAATCACCTCAAAATTAAATACAGGGGTGTGTCAAACTAGGAAGGTAGGGGGTAAAAATAACCCCAATTATTTTGTTCATCGCAATTTCAGTTTTTTGACATGAAATTATGAAATCTCAGGGCTATTTACATAGAAAAGGTACTCTTGTTGCATCTCGATAAAATAAACCATTAGCAAACAAGAGCTCCTATTCTATGTTAATAGCCCTGAGTAAGTGGATGTAGAAAATTTCAGAATTTCATTATACAAGGTGTTGAAAATAATAATACAAAATCATTCTCCGAGGCCCCCCTTTGAGGGGCTGTATCTTTCTTGGGGGTCACTTCAGAAAAAAATGTTACGGAGGTTTTCGTAACTATTTCACCCACTCTATATGCTTTGACCACCTATTTTAGAATCATCTTGTATATCTGAAATAATTTCATCCCTATTTTCGTAAGCAACAACTTGGTACTGATCTTTTGATGGATTACATGAAGTGGAGAGTGAACTCCCAATATCTGCCAAGAAAAGTTCGACAGCTTGCAGCTAGAATTATTGGTACTGTCATTGTTGGGTATTCTGTGGTACTGTGTTGGTTGAACGTGTCGAAATTGAACAAAATAAACGTGAAAGATGTGCCTTCTGTAAAGATCGGAAAACGAAGATTATTAGAGAGAGAGATCTGAACTTCAACAATTTAGAACAACGCATAGACACATTATTCACATAATAAACGCGTGTGAAGTCTTCCAAAAATTGATTTAGAATCCTTATGACAGTAGAGTAATTGAATGCCAATTATTCAATTCAATATCAATTAGGAATTTTTTTGAATTCTTAGGACAGTTTTCTTTAGTGCTTTGATAAAAATCGCAATTTCCTTTGAATGAATGAATGAATGAATGAATGAATGAATGAATGAATGAATAAATAAATGAATGAATAAATAAATGAATAGATATATAAAAAAACTAATGGAATAATCAGAGTAAATAGCCAATTAGTCTCACCTCCCCACTTGAAATAGACATCATCAATGGAAACGTTTCCTTTGCTGTGACCATTCTCGACACTTTTTCGGTCCGACAAACTATTAATGGACCTTTCCACAATTCCCTTGTCGGAGTCGTCCGTCCTTGTACCTCCATTTTCAATTTTTTTCTGATACGATTCGACGTTGAGGGCCTCATCCATTTCTTTGGTGAAATAAAATCTTCCCGAATTACCGTTCGAGTGGCGGTTGTTCCTGTAGGACCGCTTCAAATTACTCCATTTTTTTTGGCACTTGTCCGCATCCTACAACCGACAAATTATATACAGGGTGAGTCATGACTAACCAGCCGTAGCCTAATGGTAGATAGAGGAACTCAAGGTGAGTTGATATATCTGGAAAAATATATTTTGCCTATTAGTAACAGAAATACAGGCATCATTTGAATTCGGGGCGAAACTTCGATGAAAGATGAAAGATGAAAGAATTCCAAAGCCGGACTTGGATAACTCATTTTATTAAATGTCAAAATCTTGACTTCCTGAATCGTATTTTTCAAAAACTCACATCAGAATCAGGAAGGTCAGGAAAAACGCTACAAATGTAGCTTTTCTATTCGAACGGCACACTTCGACCAAATTGGTGAAACAATATCGAACAAAATACTGATGAACAATTCCATGATTCTGTACCTATTGTAGTCACATCGTTCAACAAATTCATTTAAATCCATTTCTTGCATATCGGTGTATTATAAGAGTTGGAAAGAGGCTCTATTCGATGAAAAATTCCAGGACCGGAGACCTTTCAAAACATGGAAATAAGTACCTAATTTGAAAAAAAAATCCAATACCTACCTCCTCTCCCTATCCTCCCTAAGTACGCACGAGGTTCTTCGAACATTATACGAATTTCCTTTCGTGCGCTCCAAGAGATGAACAAATATAAAAAATTATTACTTAGGTGAGATATTTTTTCTGAATCAGATATACGTGCCAACTCATACTACAATCAGCGAATCAAATTGTGAGTTTGGTGTTTTCATTATTCAGAAAAAACGACAAAAGAAGACTGTGATGGATGTATGAAAATGGACATGAATAGGTATTTTCTCTCAACAGCATGGGGCACCTCCATACATTACTCAATACAAGTGAGAGAGTACCTAGACAAACAATTCTCTAATCGCTGGATAGGTCGTGGCGATCCTCATTCTTGGCCCCCTAATCTCACAGTATAGACTATTATCTATCTCTGAAACTATTGGTATATCAGACTGGAGTCAATACCAGAGAGGAACTGGGGAAGAGGATAGTTACACAGATTCAGATCAGAAATAATAGGTGAATCATTCGAAAAACCATAAGAGATCTTCCGAAGATATGCAGAAAATGTATAGAAATTGGGGAGGAGGGCATTTTGAGAATCTTCGTTGAAAAATATTACGATATACAGACGAATCTTTTTCGGAAATTATGATGTTTTGTAATTCTTTTGAAAAACCAAGTCCGGTCCTGATTTTTTTAAATAATACTTTTTCTCAACTCTGCTGCCATATCAGTATGCAAAAAAACTGATTCGAATACTCTTAGTCAAACGTAGAAGAGTAATGACCCGGACGAAATCGAAGAAATATTCGTCTGAATTTTGTTTGATATTTTTTAACCAATCCGGTCGAAGTGTGCCATACGAATTGAGAAGCTATACTTGTAGTTTTTCCTAATCTTCGTGATTCTGATTGAAGTTTTTGAAAAATGCGATTCCAAAAGTCGATTTTTTGACATTTAAAAAGAAAATGAGTTTTCCAAGTCCGGCTCTGGAATGTTTCTGCCATAGTAGGCCATCGTGTGGAGTGTCAGTGTAGGTAAATTGCTGGTGAATTTCAGGCGAAAACATCAAGACGTTCCTGAAATATCGTTCATCAAAGTTTCGCCCCGAATTCAAATGATGCCATGTATTTCTGTTAGAAATAGGCAGAATATATTTTTTCACATATATACAGTGCGTTCATAAAGTGTGGAAACGCTCCATTATCTTACGATATAATTATTTTCAGAGGTAAAGCTCGGACAGGTCGATTTTGTATTTCAGTCTTCCATCTTTTTTTACAAAAAAATAATTTTTTCCCCCACCACCTTACAAGATATGACGTCATCGATATTTTTTTTAAATTGAAAGGGTATATTTTCATATCAAAAATTGAAAGCCCATATTTTTCTGAGTTCAACCATACCACATACGTCATATCTTACACTTCAAGTTACAGTATACTGAGTATAAAAGAAACCAGTGTTCATATTTCTCAACATTCATTTAATTATTTATTTGCAATGAAAATATCATAAGAAGTAGTGAAACTGAAGTAGATTTGTTATTTGTTTATTTTCACTACTTCTTATGATATTTTCATTGCAAATAAATAATTAAATGAATGTTGAGAAATATGAACACTGGTTTCTTTTATACTCAGTATACTGTAACTTGAAGTGTAAGATATGACGTATGTGGTATGGTTGAACTCAGAAAAATATAGGCTTTCAATTTTTGATATAAAAATATACCCTTTCAATTTAAAAAAAATATCGATGACGTCATATCTTGTAAGGTGGTGGGGGAAAAATTATTTTTTTGTAAAAAAAGATGGAAGACTGAAATACAAAATCGACCTGTACGAGCTTTACCTCTGAAAATAATTATATCGTAAGATAATGGAGCGTTTCCACACTTTATGAACGCACTGTATATCAACTCACCTTGACTTCCTCTATCCGCCATCAGGCTATGGCTGGTTAGTCATGACTGACCTTATACAGGGTGTTTCGAAATTCGACCGACAACGTTTGACAGGTGATAGCCCTCGTGATTTCATAATCATTGAGATAGGAACATTCGGTCTTCAAGTGTTCAGTTCTCGAGATACAGGGCGTTGAAGTTGAGAAATGAAAATAGTTGTTTCGCAATATCTCAAGAATAATTGAATATAATGCATTCAACTTCGGTATATGGTTTCATCTTTGAATGGGCCATTTTTTGACCTGGAAGCCATTCCGGACATTTTGTCCAGTGGTGCCCTACAGGGGGTTGTGGCATTTTTTCCTTCCATATTTTCTACGCCACTGATTGAATTTCGATTATTTCCAATTCCTCGAATTCATTGTTCAATTTTGTTCAGAAAATGCATCACCTTCAACTGAGCTGAAATAAACAGTTTTCGAGATATTCGACCCAAAATAGAAGATTGCATAGTAATATTTCATCATTTTCAGTAGTAGAAAATTGCAAAAATATTTTTCTGGTGTTGAGTAGATTAGATACTATTCAGATCTCATTCCATAGCTGAACAGAAATAGTTATTCCACACATGAAGAGAAAACAAAAATTTTCGTAATTTTTTACTACCGAGGAAGATGAAAAATTACTATGCATACTTCTATTTTGGGTCAAATATCCCGATAACTGTTCATTTTAGCTCAGTTGAAGGTGATGCATTTTTTCAACATAACTGAACAAACAATTCGAGAAATTGGAAATAATTGAAATTTCATCAGTGGCGTAGAAAATATGGGAGGAAAAGTTATCACAACCCTCTGTAGCGCATCTCTGGATAAAATTCTCGGAATGTCTTTCTGGTCAAGAAATTAATCAGTGAAAGATGAAACCATATACCGAATTTGAATGCATTATATTAAATTATTCTTGAGATATTGCGAAAAAACTATTTAAATTTCTTAACTTCAACGCCCTGTATCTCGAGAACTGAACACTTCAAGACCGTCTGTCCCTATCTCAGTGATTATGAAATCACGAGGGCTATCACCTGTCAAGCGTTGTCGGTCGAATTTCGAAACACCCTGTATAAGGGGTGATACAAATTCCAATATACACTACACGGATTTTAGACATGGTCAGATATACAACATTGATTGAATAATAAAAAAGTGCTGGGGCAGTCCTTGGGAACTGCCGATAGAAGTGGAAACTAAGTAATAGTGAATTGTATCGTCGAGCTATTAGATTATGATTTTTCTCAATTTTGATGATGGAATCATAATCTCCGACACCGAAACCCTCGGATACAAATTATGAATAGTAATTTAAAAACGTCCGCCATATTGAACTTACCGTCTTGAATTTCCTAACTTTTATGAAGGAATCATAATCTTCGACCCCAAAAACCCCCAGATACAGATTTTGAATAGAATCAAAACATATCTACAAAACTCGTCCGCCATATTGGACCCGCCATCTTGAATTTCCAAATTTTGACAAAAGAATAATGATTTCCGACCCAGAGAGTCTCTAGATACAAATTTTGAATTGAATTGGATGATGATAACAAATCTCGTCTGCCATCTTGAATTTCCATATTTCTATGAAAACTCGTCCGCCATCTTGAATTTACTCATTTTGACGAATGATTCATAATCTCCGATCCCAAAAACCCTCAGATACAAATTAAGAATCGAATCGGATGATGATTACAAAACTCGTCCACCATCTTGTATTTCCTTATTTTGACCAAGGAATCATAATCTCCGACCATGAAAGCCCCCAGATACAAATTATCAATAGAATCGGATGATGATTACAAAACTCGTCCGCCATCTTGAATTTTCATATTTCTACGAAGGAATCATAATCTTCGACCCCGATAACCATCAGATACCAATTTTGAATTGCATCGGATGATAATTACAAAACTCGTCCGCCATCTTGAATTTTGACGAATGATTCATAATCTCCGACCCCGAAAACCCTCAGCTGCAAATTTTGAATAGAATCGGATCATAATTACAAAACTCGTCCGCCATATTGAAACCGTCATCTTAAATATCCTAACTTTCACAAAGGAATCATAATCTCCGATCCCGAAAACCGGATCATAATTACAAAATCCGCCATCTTGAATATCCTAATTTTCACGAAAGAATTATAATCTCGGACCCTGAAAATCCCCATATACCAATTTTGAATCGATATAGAATTGGATCATAATTACTAAATACTGCATAGGAGATACCCTTCAGATTTTTTGTTATCCAGTGATTTCGGTGACGTGACGATGACGTGAAATCCAATGTTTTTCTTCACTCAAAAAAAGTGCTGAACGCGCCCAACGAAGTCATCACGTCAAAAATTCAATAACTCACAGCATCATTAAGGCAACACTAAAGGTATTTTTTCACGAGTTCCCGTTGATCAGCCACCAGTAATAGAGCGGTTATACCCCCACCAAAAAATAAACCGAAGGCCGTCAATCCTTTGATTTCTCACGAAAATGAACCGGTTAACCGTTCAGATTTGGTTAACCGTTCAGATTTCTGTCGGTTTCGTTTTGTTTTCGATCATAATATATGATCATATTAAATGGACAGTTATTGCATTTTGGTTGCATGATCGTTGGCTCCGGCCGCTCCGGTGGCTCAACAAAAAGCATCTCAAAATGTTCCCAACAGTACTGTCAATGATTAATGATTTTTTTGATTCAACTTCGATTGACTTGTCTCATCCCATTCAAATTTTCAAAGTACAAAAGTGAGTAGTAGGTATTTCAAAAATAGTTTGAATAATTATAAATATGTTCACTTCTGATAATATAATACCTACTTTAAAAATAATGATACAATGTCACTTGTCAATTACTATAACTGCCAGTAACCATGTTAACAGATGCGGGAACTAAAAGAGTTTCCGTTTTATAAATTGTGACGTCACTGATGACGTCAGTATCATACTCCCCTATTACCGTTATGACGCGAAAATGCAACGGGAACTGAATATCAGTTCCCGGCAAATCAACGGGATCTCGCGAAAAAATACCTTAATAATTTCAGGAATAACATTGTTTATCAGAACTTTCCAGACAATAAACGAGCGCCTCGCGAGAGTTGCCACACTACATCCATCATTCTGGCTTCCAACATAATTGACATTATTAACGTAAAAGATTGTATCTCTGAAAAACGAGGTTTGGTTGGGAATGTGTGGGTCAATTCAGCTTGGTAGAGCAGGAGAAAGGATAATATACTGTGTTAAAACCAATTATGTGTAATTTTTTTTATTGAAAAATCATTTTGTGTTCACCTAATGTCAGTGTCCATTTTGATGAACAATTTCATTCAAACTAAGTACTTGAAATGGTGCATAGCAACAAACTTTTCCTGCCTAGGCAGAGAAAGTACACCTTTTCTGCCTGTTGAGTGTCAGAGAAAAGCCACTTTCCATGTGGCTTGGAGAATAGTTTTTGTTTAACTAGGCAGAAAAGCACAAGCTAGGAAACCAGCCAGGGCATTAAATCTGCTTTTATGCCATGTGAAAGATATATAATTTTTTCTCCAAATTTGTCCAATATCACAAACTCCAAATAATCCATCATTTTGTGTTCACTCAACCTCAGTGTCAATTCTGATTATCAATTTGATTAGAATTATTACTTGCAACATTGCATAGCATAACAAACTTTTTCTGCCTAGGCAGTAAAAGTACACCTTTTCTGCCTGTTAAGTGTCATTAAAAAGACAGTCAATGTCATTTGGAGAAAAAAAACTTTTGCCTAGGGATCAACTGCCAGAAACTGTTATCTGATGAAACAAATGAAGTCAAAATGAAGCATATAAATGAAGAAATGTCTCTATATTCAAAATTGAGGAAAGTTTCCTTTTGAATAGTTTTCATCAAATCAGTTTGAAACTACTCAGAAACATATATTCATGACCCTACTCCACTCACCTTCTGTATACCTTCTTTGACCAACTCTGTGGAAATGAGCTGCCATACTATCTTGTTAGGCAACTTTGAGAATTTGTGTTTGTGCTTTTTACATGCCTCAATCAGCTTGGATGTTTGATGGTCTAACCAATAACCATGTTGTGAAAGATGTGTTGTCTGCTTCTCCTTCTCTTCCTTCTCAGCCTCATCATTATTCTCCTCCTTATGCCCCTCATCTTCAGCCTCCTCCATCTTTTCCTCCATTTCAAACTGCTTACTGTCTTGACTGCCATCCTTGCCCATCTGGAAGTCTTCCTCTGCTGGTAAATCATTCACAAACATCAGGAAACATACTCTTCCAACAACCACAACATAAATAATTAGTCGTTCAATCAATTCTAGGTTATTAATTTACATTGACCAATTGATTTTAACAATGTTTATAATAACAATATCAGTATCAGTATCAGAAAGAATTGTTAACGAAAAACTAAAACAGTACTTGGACAATATCAGTTTTTTATCTAATATGGCTTCCAAAGGTCTAGTGATACCAGTTCTGCTGCTGTTGACTTGATTTCAGAAATATATATGGCAAGGGACAAAGGCAAAAAATGCATGTTGGTATCGTTGGACCTCTGCAAGGCATTGGATACAGTTGACTACTCTATTCTGCTCAGAAAATTGCAATGGCTTGGTATCACGGGAGTGGTCCTCGAATGGTTCAGAGACTACTTATCCTCCAGAAAACAAAGTGTTTGCATAGGGAAAACAGATGGTGAGAAAAGAGAAATAACGTGCGGGGTTCCACAAGGTTCAATCCTTGGGCCCACTCTATTCTAAGTTTATATAAACTCTATAACTAACTCAAATTTGAAAGGAAACATTAAATTATATGCAGATGATACAACTCTGCTGTATATCTCTGAATCATTCCAGAGTTTGCATTTGGATATCCAGGTAGACATGGAAATAGTAGAAAAATGGTTGTGCAATCATAAGTTAACACTGAACGTAAACAAATCGTCATTTATGTGTATTGGTAAAAATAGTAATCCAATTGGAGTAATTAATTTGCGGAGCTCATCATTGAAACACTCAAGCAATGTAAAATTTCTAGGTCTTAAAATAGACAGATCTCTATCATGGAGTGACCACATTGACTATGTGAAAAAGAAAATATCGGCACCAACAGGGGTGTTAAGGAGACTGAGTTATATTCTTCCAAGGAAATTCTTAAGATCCGTATACTTTTCATTAATTCATTCACATCTACAGTATCTCACAATAATTTGGGCTGCATCATTCAACAGTCAATTGAAACCCCTTGAAGTACTCCAGAATAAAGCAATCAGGAACTTGTACCGATTGGATAACTGTTTTCACACTCAAAGTCTGTATCAAGATTTTAACATTATGGCTATAAAGAAAATATTCATTTATCAAAACAATATATTTATTCATCAATTATTAAATAAATCCAAACACTCAAATATAATAATCAAATATAGGCATGATATTCACACATATAATACAAGAAATCATTCTCAAATTGAACTGCCAACTATCAGAACATGAAATGGATTGAGTTCCATATACTATCAGGGCATGAAATATTATAATAATATACCGAAATATCTGAAGTATCTACCACTCAACCAATTTAAATCTGAAATGAAAAAAATTCTTCAGGGAAGGGAAAGGACAAGGGAAAATGATATATGAATGTAAAATTTCTTACTTCTTGTTCCTTTTGTTTTGTTTCTCAGTGAACTGCTATAATAATTTTTTTGTGATATTAATTTTTAGGTGTGATGAATCATAATATATAATTTGTATGTTATGTATTATGTGAGGACAATGTATGAATTAGTAGACTACTGCAGAGTGTCCCTATATAAACTTGTATTAGTTTTTTGGGATTAATAAAGGAAAAAAAATATTTCCTACTCCAAACCACAAGAAGAGGTGAATCAATATGATCCTGAGATATTGATTTTTGAATACTGAAGAAATATTGGAAAATTATAAAAATATTTAGAAATCATGGTCAAAAGAACAATAAAGTTGACATTACCTTGAAGATCAAAATAACAATGTATCAAAATCATAATTGATATTTAATTTACACTTTATAAAAGATGGAAAACACTTGAGCAAGTTTTTTTTCAAAATGCTTGATATAATAAGAACTTACCAGTATCTATAAATTTGACTTCCTCATGGGGGTCCTCCAAATCAACATTATTCATCAAATCCTCCATTTGTTGTAGAAAATGAAATTTAAGTTGTTTACTTCTTCTTAGACGAACATTCTTCTGTAAACTTTGAACATTCTTATAGTTCTGTTGTAAACTTTTCCATTTGTATTCACATTGTTTATGATTTTTATTAATTCCATATTTGGCAAGCTCTCTAGAAATGGCAAGCCAATACTGTTTATCATGTTGGGTTTTCCTGTAATGAATATAAGAAGTATACTTTAGTATTTCTTATAACAGAGTATTTTAGACTAGGTATTAATTCTATGTGAAAACATTGGTAGGTGATTTATCTTCTTTTATTATACACTCCTATTTATACACCATGTATCTCAGGCATATAAATATAAGTTAATCCATTTTTGATCCAAACATACTCATCTTTGAGCCAAATATATATATTTATTGGTTGGTGCACAGGAGAGGGAATCCATATAATGTTGGAAGAACATCCTGCATACCCAGGGAGAATAGGAAGAGGAAGTACCTAGGTGTTGGATTTGTTTTACTTTAGGAGATTTTAAGTTCTTGAAAATACTTCCACAGGCAATAAATTCTAGAGCTTCCAGGTTCTATAGAGAACCCAGTTTTGATATAGTGCTGTTCCACATATTTCAAGGTTAACAACAAATGGATATGATAACATTCTAGCATTTCAGGATCACACCAGTTATCCTGAGACTTAATCCTTATACATATAGGGCAGATACCTGATTCAAAATAAATGAGAGTATTCTTTGCAATAAAAATAAAATACAATAAAGTTCATCCTCATTGGAGTGATTTGATTAGTCTGGGCATTCTGAAAAAAAAAATGTATGATTCATTCAACACTTACCAAATACGTTTAAATATTTGGTAAATTTTCATAAACTTCAGAGTTTCATAATTTGTCCATATTCCTCTGTCTCTTTGAGAATTATATTTATTTATGGATCTGGAAGATGAAAATGTAGGATTTTCATCAGATTCTGTAGTCTCTTTTTGGGAATCATCTACAATAGCAGATACTTCTTCAAAATACTGATATTTCTGACCAGGGTGATCTTTCACAGCAGTGAAAGCTTCATGAGCATTCTTCCATTTGTTTTTGCATTTGTTGGCATCCTTTTTAATATTAGCACTTGCCAAATCATTTGATACAATTTGCCATATTTTTCCATCCTTGTTTGTGCTGCGTTCTAGAAAATGTCTGTGTTTCTTCAATATTTCAAAGAACTTGAGAGTCTCTTCTTTTGTCCAAAACTCCTCCAAATTATTAGTCCCACAACTGGGGCTTTCATCATCGTCCATATCTGAAGTGGCCACTTCCAAAACGGACCCATCCTGGATATTTTCTCTCTGGATCTCTTCAAAGAGAGCCTGGGCAAATTCTGCATCTGAAAATCAGCATTTATATGTTAATTGAAATTATTTCTCAAGGCAAATGTTTACTTTTCCTGCACTTCTCAGCTATCTTGGATGGAACTTTGACTTTCAACAGTTTGTTTATAGCAGGATCAAAGAGTTCGATAAGCTCCATTTTGAGTTCCAAAAAGAATCCTAAGTTCAGCCTGCCTTCAGGATAAGAAACTTCTTTAGGATTGTGACTTGTATTCCATTTTATTATAAGAAAGAGTTTTTGAGGAAGAGTTTTTGAGTTTTGTTTGAGTGTTTAACCATAACCTAAAAATTCTTCATCTTCTTCTTGCTCTCTTAATGGCCTCTTGTCATGGGACCTACAGCCAAAGCCAACCACAGTGGTACCTTCCACCAGGAGTACAAGACAACATTTCACCATGGGACTGTCCATCTCGTCGGGTAACGAGTTGACTCAGAAGTCAGAATGCTAGCAAGATGTGAAGTATCTGGGGCTTATACGGGCTTATCGTTACAGGGACTCTAATCGTTACCATCTCGATGGTAACAAGCACGATGGTAACAAGCTTATCCTAGATGCAAAACTTCTCTGGAATCGACACGTAGAAAATATTGTCAGCAAGACGAAATCATCACTGATGGTGTGCAGAAGGATTGCAAGAAAGACATAGGGGTCATAGGGCTGAAACCCATCAATACTGCGATTGATGTATACCATGATAGTGAGACCCATCTATGATCGCCTACGGAGTAATAGTTTGGCACGGCAGAACCGAACTCGCAACAACAACAAAAAAATGTTAAAGAAGGTGCAGAGACTAGCATGTCTTTGTATAACAGGAGCATTGAGATCGATCCAACAGCAACACTAGAGGTCATACTGGACCTCACACCCCTCCACATCAAGGTGAGGAGAACTGCTTGAGGAGCACATTTCAGGTTGGAGAAGGCCGGGCTCAAAGGGAAAGCAGTGAAAGCACATAACGTGGGGTTCACTGTCCACTGGAAGTGCAGTAGTGCACACCTCGCCGATCTCCCAACTGATGAAATTATCAGAGGAAGTTCAATTTAGAGAAAAAATCCGAACAGAACTGATGAACACCAAGAATAAAGAATGGAGTACATAATCCATCCGAGCACTGGAGAAGAATACCATAATATGGTATACGGGCGGGTCTAAAACACCCGAGGGAACTGGAGCAGGAGTGTTTGGGCCACGCACTAAATATTCCGTACCGATGGGCCAGTTTCACAGTATTTTCCAAGCGGAAATTCACGCCATAGAAAGGTGCAATCAGTTCAACCTCGACAAGAAATGCCGGAGAAAGGAGATCGCTATCATTTCCGACAGCCAAGCAGCCATCAAAGCGCGTTGAGCTCCTTTACATCAACTTAAATATGGTTTGAGAATGCCTAGACAAACTTAACAATCTAAGCAGGAAAGCAGGAACAATATTCGGTAATCCTCTTCTGGGTGCCGGGCCACATTGGACTGAAGGGATATAAATTAACAATAAGCAGACATCCTGACACGAAATGGAGCATCACTGATCAGACCAGAACCATTCTGCGGCCTTGGAAATTCTTATATTAAGGAAGCTTGGCTTAGAGGAGGACAGCACCTGCAGATTATGCGGGGAACATCCAGGAACACCCCACCATATCTTGCTGGAGTGTTTTGCTGTACACCACAAAAGATCGAATATACTGGGAGCATACCAGCTGACCGTGGAAGAAATACCACAAACAGATCTCCTCAGAATCCTCAGATACCTAAAAGAATTGAAGCTTGAGAGGGGCTGCTATAAACAAGAAAACCTTGAAATAGCAGATGAAGATAGGGCACAATAGATCTAATATGGTCGCAGCTCATCTGTCACCATCCACACTTACCAATACTAACACCAATACCTGGTAGCGGCATCAGGAGTTTGTGTGCCCCTACGTAGGTATAGGCTTCCTCTTCCTCATATTAGCAACTTGCGAATAGTTAAGTCTTGGCTTGGTCTGGTCGGAGTACATTTTTCTTTGATCTACGTCTATTACATTCTGACTTGTGTTAGTGTTTCTCAGTGTTGGGAATTCTTGGATGTTTGCACTGTACTGTGGTTGATGGCTTTTTTCTTCATTCCTTGGTATCCGTTGTCCTGCTCCATATGAAATGTTTTCGAATGTCATAAGTTCCGTTATGTCCTTTTGAATTCTGTATTCCTTGCAGAGCCTGTCTGTTGCCCTATGTTTTCCTTGACAAAACACACATTCAATTTCATCCACCTCACATTATTTTGCCGTGTTCAGCTGCGCATTTTGAACATATTTTTTTGCTTCGGCAATTATTTTTGGTATGTCCAAATCTGAGTCAGTTGAAACATTGTAATACTGGATCTATATATACTCGAACTCTATAGCCTCATAGTAATTAATTTTAGTACCGTTTCCGGCAGTCTCCTACCTCGGAATGTGATTACAACAGTTTCTGTAGGTACATATTCAATGGTGTTATCTTCCTTGATTATTCCATTGCTCATTCTTCTTGCTGCTATGATGGGTCTAGCCGCTACTCCTTCTTTTATATGATTTCCTCTGTTGTGGTTTCTATGTCGATCTCTCGCAATGTCTCTGTCACAAGTGATGAGGAAATGAATATCCAATTATTTTTTTGCAACACTGGGTTTGATGGAAACTTGTGTTATTTCTTGTTGTAAACTCTATACTTATGTTCGGTGTCTATACCTAGTCTCTGTTTCTACCCATTCGGGTTATCCTACTAATTCTTACCAGCTCTCTTTTATGAATTTCCCCTACTGCTATCACTATATATATATCATATTTATCTATGAGATTATATGATGTTGCTTGTGTTTCATTAGGGATATCTAGAGGTTTTTTCTGGGGGCCACTAGGTGCCTGACACATTTTTAGATATGGGTTGAGTGGTTAGGACTAGCAGGTTAAAGCGTGGGTAGGAGTCAGGGAATAGTATGGGCTATGAAGTATATGTGCCTATACTCTCGTAAGTCTGCTTTCACTCGTTGCTTGGGATTTCTTATTATTTTCTAACTATTCTCTTGGTCTAGAAAAAAAACACGTTTGCATGTTCCAACTTGCCCTTTTGTTCAAGTATTCGCGAAAATCACGAACCAATAGATGGCTCTATTAAACGTCAAATCAACGTCAAATTTCCAACTGAGTATGAACAACAAAAACATTGCCGTATGCACTCATTGCAAATTGGTTATTTCCAAATCATTTTGCAAAATAGTAAATAATAAGTTGACTTCTTGAAATACGTACAAGGTTTCCAGTATGGAAAAAATTACTTTTCGTGCAGAGAAATTGCCATTTTGATGTGGACAATGGTGGTATTCATCATTGATATCACACTACAATACCACAGTTTTCAAACTTATGGAAGGATCGGAATGGTCCACTCAACACTTGCATGGACTGGAATGGAACCATACAAGCAATCAGCTCAACAATATGGTAATAATTGAATTCATCAAGAAATATCACTGGCTTTTATGAAGGAGATGGAATTGTAGTGAAGGGGTTGGAAAAAAAGATATGGTTGGAGAGGCTGCTCAGAATGAACAATATCATCGATTTACATGAACAAGCAGGATCTCCAGCAATTGAGGACTTGAAGTTATTCTCAAAATCAAATCATTGCAACCAATATTTATACAATGATTCTAATTGTGCTTCAGAAAATGTATTACAAGGTAGGTACTGGTTTCTTCATTGTAAACAATAAAAATTCGTGCAATAATTCGAGTTTTTTCATCAGGGAGAAATGAGGTTCTGGAATATGCACTTCAACAAATAAATTATTTTCCAATAAAACACATATTTATGAAATTCAAAACAATGGTCGCCATATTTGTTGTTCATACTCGCAAGACTTGTACAGTTAGCCACCAGAGGCCGCACACTTTGTGATTTTCGCGAATTACTAGATACTCTTCTTATTTAATATTTTTGATTTTTGTCTTTGTCAAAGGACACACAATTTACTGCTTTGAAGCGTTCTGTACCCCTGCTAAAATAACATTACCGCATAGCGGGCAGTTAGACAGCGAAATTGGAAATACGACGTGCGCGGTTCTCTGACCATCGATTTTTTTAAATGTAGACATTATTTTGGTGCTTTTGGCAAAAAGAATAGTAGGTTCCTCTTTGCTTTGGCCACGGTAGGAGAAACATGGCGTCTTCAGGCCAAAAGGTCAGGTTCAGGTTAATGTGTGTGCATGTCGAAAATCTCGTAATTACCTGATCTGGATTGAAATCCAATATTTAATGTGAAGTTTAATAAGTGTGTGTGAGAACTGTCAGGCTCTCTTATCTCTACGCCGGAATAGAGGCTGGATGATGACGGATTCATCGGATAAGAGGGCCATACTTGAAGTCAAACGTTCTCTATTATCTCTACGCCGGTAACCAGGCCGAATCAGCAACGGATTTGCTTTATAAGAGGAGTACATACGATCGAATCTTATGAACACTGATGACTCGATCGGCTTGAGGCCATTATAGAAGTTAATAGACCTTGATTGTGATGGACAATCGGTGTCTTAGGTGGCGAGTCGAGTGATAATATTATTACATAACCAATAAGTATTTATTCTTGAAAAAAATAATTACCTGCTTTTCAGCGACTTCAGCTTATTGCGCATGGGATTCTGATTGGTCACAATTAATACTCATAATAACAGAAAGTTTGTTTCAGGATCAATAAGCTAATATTTGTCCAGTATGATCCTAAAACAGTGAATGTAAGTTGTAAGCTGTCATCTGTACCCATCAAAAGGAGACAGAACGCCAACCATAGACGCCAACAAACATAAAATCTAGTAAGCTACTTTAGAACTGTTTCATTTTCATTGGAATAATAAAGGAATCATCGATTAATTTTTGTGTTTGCTTTGGCAAGCGTGCAATAGGGTAAGTTATGGAGTGAGATGTTTATAATTCAAGAAGTTTAAGTTATTATTTTTATATTCTTCATATACAGTCTTGGATAGGTATTATGGAATTTTCAGTTATCACAAAATATTGATGTAATAATAACAAAAACTATCATTTATTAGGTAGATATGCTTCCAAATTCTTCAGATGATATTGAAGCATATCATCTGGTGGTCCCAACCCCACAAAAATCCATGCTGAGAATGCTAATAAAGCCCTCCACAATGAAAGATGATTCCATGTGTTTAATTCACTTCCTGTGATCTGAAAATTAAAAATTGCCAAGTAAATACATGTCTTCGAGTGTTCAATTGGCCTCAGCAGAAACCGAAGCAGAAGCCTACTGTTACCTATCTAAATATATTTTATTGTAATATACAGTGTGTCCCAAATTCGATCCTCACCATTGGGATCTCAGTAACTATGAGAGATAGAGAAACGGTTAAATTAGCAAAGTTGTAGCAAATTTAATGTTGAATCATAATCTATCGAGAAATCCGGGCTAGCTTCAGTCATTCTTGAGTTATTTGAGAAAAACTGAAATCTTGTATTTTTGTTTTTCTCGAATATCTCGGAACCTATTGATTTTATGAAAAAATGACTTCAACATTCTCATAGCACTTTTTAGTGCTCTTTTCAATGGTTTTGTCAGTTTTCCATCAAAATGTCAAATTTCTGAGATATCACCTACAACTTCAATTTTTCTTATGGACGCCATATTGGATTTTGACAGATTTGAAATCAGCATCAAATTTCCTTTCTAGTGATGTATCACACTCACAGTTTTGTTCTATTTGGGGTACTGATTTCCAATTTTTGTTTGTATGTCAAGTAGGCTATGAATTCTGTGTTCTATGTTCTTGCATAACTTATCGCATGGAATTGGATGTGTACTATTATAGCAGAAAAAAAAAATTAATAACAGTTGAATAATACAAATACTGAAAAAAAAAATCAATTGAACTGCTCGAAATGGTCCCCATTGTTCTCGATTTTAATATTCGCGAGCGAACATGATTCGCTGCTTTCCTCAGATGAACTCTGTTGATGTTCTGGAATGTGTCCATCACCCTATCTCGTAGATCATCAATATCTTGAATTGGATCTTCATAAATTTTATTTTTGGCGTAGCCCCACAGGTAAAAATCGAGAGGCGTAAAGTCAGGCGACCTTGGAGGCCATCTCACAGGTCCATGGGTAGTAATTAATTTAGCACCAAATTGATTCTCGAGATATTCCCTAACCAATCGCGTATTGTGCGGTGGGGCACCATCTTGCTGAAACCACATTAACTCATATTCAGCAAGTGGTATCTCGTCTATAAAATTCGAAATTTCATTTCTCAATAGCTCTAAATAACGTGGACCATTAAAGTTATAATCGTAGATTATTGGACCTAGTAGTCTACTGCCTGAAAAAAATACACAATGAGAAACAGTTATTCATGGACCAAAATTCTAGTAAGGTACCAAATATCCCACACCAAACATTGAAACCAAATTTGTTCTGCCACTTTGATTCTCTGATGACATGCGGATTATTTTGTGCCCAGTAATGATGATTATGTTTATTGTAAATTCCATTATTATGAAATCTCGTTTCATCGGTCCAGCAGATATTCAATGGAAAGTTCTCGAATCTTTCACACTGGTTATGGAACCAGTGACAAAACTCGAGACGACGTTCATTATCACCAGGTCTTAACCCTTGTACTATCACTGGTTTGAAAGGGTGGTACTTATCATTCACTAAATGTCTGTGTGGATTGTTGTTTTCGGCACAAGAGTTCTCCGACTAAGCTCTCGAATTGAAATGGTAGGAGTTCGATTGATGATTCCTTCGATATTTGCAATATCTTGTTCATCCAAGCGCAAACCATACCTTGGCCTAGGTGCAATGAAACTTCCATGCTCTTGCAAATTTCTTTGTAATGTTAGAAAAATAGAAGGATGCGGTTGTTGTCTTTCTGGATATAAATGGAAGTATTGTCTAGCTGTTTCTCTGTTATTTCGATTATTTCTGATATAACAATTGTACATATCAAATTTTTCGAGATTTGTGAACGGCATTGTTTGCCCCGAAATAATTGACTTGTACTTTTTCTTGACGTTTACAGAAATGTCACTTGGCTCACCTTTGCTCCAAGCCTACTTTATGAAAGTTGTGTCAGAACACATTATCGTTAATGTTTATAGAGACCTTAGCGCATAGCCTACTGGACATAAAAACAAACATTGGAAATCAGTACCCCAAATAGAATAAAACTGTAAGTGTGATACATCACTAGAAAGGAAATTTGATGCTGATTTCAAATCTGTGAAAATCCAATATAGCGTCCATAAGAAAAATTGAAGTTGTAGGTGATATCTCAGAAATTTGACATTTTGATAGAAAACTGACAAAACCATTGAAAAGAGCACTAAAAAGTGCTATGAGAATGTTGAAGTCATTTTTTCATAAAATCAATAGGTTCCGAGATATTCGAGAAAAACTAAAATACAAGATTTCAGTTTTTCTCAAATAACTCAAGAATGACTGAAGCTAGCCCGGATTTCTCGATAGATTATGATTCAACATTAAATTTGCTACAACTTTGCTAATTTAACCGTTTCTCTATCTCTCATAGTTACTGAGATCCCAATGGTGAGGATCGAATTTGGGACACACTGTATATGTACTGAGGGAACAGAGTACCTAGGTTGGTTTTATGCCAGGACATATAGCAGTATATTATTCAACAATTTCAACATCACTATTCTGATGGAGAACCTGATTGGATGAGTGAGGATGAATATAATATGGGAAATATTGAAATAGTTGAATTTGAGGTTGAATTATTGTATTTGCAACTCAACTGTGTTATTTTTGTAGGGGGGGGGGGGAGGACACGGCGGCAATAGGTGTACAAAATGTTCAGAAATGAATAACAATACCTTCTCGGGGCATTATAGGCATTATCGGCCTTATTGGAAAATGATCTGCACTAAATGGCAATAGTATAGGCATTGAATAAGAAATGCACAAATAGACAGCATTAATAAGACAGAATGATTAGGCAATAGACGGCAATAGATATGATATATTCGTCAATAAATGGGCAATATGTAGGAAATAATCGGGAATAAACTACACTTTTTTTATGTTCTGGTTCCCACGAAAAGGGATATCCTGTAATGTTCAGAGAACATCGTGAGAACCAAGGGAAATAAGGTAGGAATTGGTGTTCTTCTTAAATTTCTGGAGTTTATATGCCTCGAGGAACACCTCCCTTGGCAATGTGTTCCAGAGCCTCGCTGTTCATTGGATGAACGAGTATTTGGAAAGAAATGTTCTGCAGGTCTCCAGAGTGACCACGAAGGGGTGCGAAGCCTCAACTCGACGGGTTAATCTCGCGGGGACTTCCAAGGGAAGAACAATTGTTGATATTTCAGAAGAGCATCGTCCATGAAAATATCAATAAAATAGAGCCAGATCGCCAACTTTTCTACGGTGTTCCAAGTGAGTGAGTTTGTGAGCGAGGCATCATCCACGAGATAAATTGCCCTGTTTTGGACAGAATCCAATGACATAACAGAGAAATAAAGTGAAGGAGCGTATATTTCTTCATTTCTGTCCAATCATTCATTGTAGTGAGTTATTCCCATGTGTTGTTCTTATTTAGATTTCGAATATGTTGTTAATTCGAAATACCTCGATCAACCCCAATAGGTATAGGTACCTATTGAAAGTGACAGGACACAACACACATAATAATATGGAAGTTACTTCGTTCGCCCTGGGGATGTACTTAAACTTCGCCGAAAAAGTAATCTCGTGAAATCAGTGTAAGTACTTATAAAGCTCTAAAGCTGAACTTGAAATACCTTCACTCAAACAGAAAAAATATCTCTCAAGAAATCGAAAAAAATACCTATATATAAGTGTAAATTCGGCATGAAAATGGAGAGTCGTACGCTTGAAAGAACGGGCAAAGTAGATACTTATTCTCGAGCTTATTCTCGTAACTCATCCAAATTCGGATCTACGCTCGTCTTCTGGGAACACAATCGTGCGTACATAGGGGGGATAGGAAAGGAGGTAGGTGTTGTAGTTTTTTCAACTTTTGGAGGTTCCTTGGGAATAATTCCATTGGCAAATAATTCCAAAGCAGAGGCTGACACTCTGTCATGTAGGTATGTACGTCCTATGAAGACGAGTATATACATACCTACCTATCAGATTTGAAGACCCCGCGCCTTAATATAATAAAACAATACGCGTGATGGGCAATGCAATTATAAAAATATATTTTATACTAGTATTTGAAGGGAATTCATATAGGTATTTGGTTTTCTGAACAAAAAAATGCTGCAAAACCAATAGAAAACCTTTAGGATAATTTGGATATTTAAATTGTGATACCTAATACTTATATCTGGTTTCATTAGTTTATGGTTGGGGTATTCTAGCTAATCTTTCCCAATTTCAAGAAACACATGCACAGAGAGAAATGAATATTACGGTATTTCCAAACGGAATACAGATATGTTTAGAATTTTTGGAGCAGGCATAAAAAACTATTGGGTATTCTAGTCGTGAGGCATTGATAATAATTTTCATTTAGGCATTACTAGTCGGCAATATCAGAAATTACGGCAATAAACTCTAGTATTTAATGCCGGAACTTGCAATAGGTTTACATAATTTTGGTGCGTGTCCCCCCTCCCCTCGGTAATTTGGAACTCCATCAGCTATCGAAACCTGAAAATGCAGAAGAATAAACAAGCCGTACTCACATTTGTTACAATGGATATGTTGCTATTTTCATTTTGATATGACATCAATGATAATTTGTCATCATAATTTGCTGTGGATAAATGAACTATGAAGCAGGTAATGTAAAGTATGACAATAAAGGTGCTTCTTTTTTGGTTCCACAGTTCCTTCATGTAGTTTTTATCTAGATGGGCAATATCAATCCTGCAAAAATAAAAGTTTTTATCTACTCACTGCACCGAAAGTAAGCGTTCGCTCCCTAATTTAGGGACACAAATCTATCAATTTACTCCCGCGGGAGGCAAAAAAATCCCCCGTGGGAGGTAATTGAATTGAATTGAATTTATTTAGTTCAGAAATATTACAATATTATGAAACACGTCAAAGTAAAAATAGGACAATGGTCAAATTAAAAAAGGACATTAGCCAAAGTAAAAATATGACAATAGTCAAAGTAAAATAGGACAATAGTCCAAGTATACGTGAGTATGTAAAAATAAAATGAAAATATAAAATATCATATTGTACATGGGTTTACCTAGTTTTTGTTGAGATGTCTCTGTTTTTGAATAACTTGCAATATTCGTCAAATGAGTATATGCAGTTCTCTGCCAGAATGATTTTCAGTCTTATCGAAAATTTGGAAAATGATAGATCACGAAATTCGGTTGGTAATGCATTGTACCATTCAACACCTCTGTTTGTATGCCTACGTAATCTAGTGTATGGTTGCAATAGCATAGATTTGTTCCTTGTGTCATGTCTGTGGAAATCGGATTGTGATTGATAGTTGCTCATGTTTTTTTTTACATGCAATAGGTTATGGTACAGAATGGTCGAAAATATGGTCATGATCTTTAGTTCCTCAAATATAGGTCTGCAGCTGACTTCCCAATTAACTTTTTTTATACTGCGTAATGCAGCTTTTTGAATGATTAAAATTCTTTGTACATAGCAATTTGATAATATAGCGTAGGTATAAGACTGGCTGCTATTGCGCATTTCATTCCAACTTTTGTCGTGTGTGTGTGTGTTCGGCTGGTATATGCACTCAGACAGTACCAATATTATTTCAATTCGACTAAGCAGGCACTACTCAAGGGTAGGGCATCATTATGTTCGACTGGTAAAAGCACTTGTTGGCAATTCGAATGTTTGCGCACTGTAATTTTTGACGGTGTCAAAGCAACGGGCTGAAAAATGCTGAGAGTTAGTGGGTGTTTATATTCAAGAAGAAAAAAAAAACTAGGGGCTCAAAGTCGGTCGACCACACTTCATTTAGTTTTTTTTTTCTTCTTGAAAATACTGTGGACCACTTTGAGAAAATGGATGATTTTCATGATTTGGTGTTTATATTCACATTGTTATGCTCAGATTTTGAAATGAATAACGAAACTATCGGCAAATGATTCCCTATATTCGAAACAACAGTGAGCCAAGTCGATAGCAATAATGATATTTGAATTCATGAAATCGACGTAGGATATGAAGTATAGGAAATCAGAAATGAATTGAACCCAAAAAATTCAATAAAATATTGGAATAACAGGACTAGCCTCCAAACATAGCACCATATCAAATAATCCCTGTCCGTTTGCGCGTGGAAAATATCCTTTCTGAAGAAATGAGACTAATTTTTTCTGATCAATTCAATAACTTAACTCGATCCAAATGGACCTTCTTTCCAGAAAGAATATATTTCGGCAAATATCCTTCTGCATATGGAAGGAGACTACTTCCGTTTAACAATCCAAAACGTTGATTCAGAAAAAAACATAATTGAAATAGACTTCAGTAAACTGTCATAATTTCAGTGGGGGAAGGAATGTCACATTTATTTCCGATGGTCTATTTTAATAATTAATAAATTAATGATATCATTTATAATATCAGAAAATGTCTGTTATTGAAATAATTGACGCTGAGAATAATATCTAGTTCAGATGAACGGGAAACTATACATCTGTGACAACATGACAACTGATAAAGTCATATATCTACTATTCCTATATATGGCGCATCGCCTATACGATATCTCAACAAAAATGGGCCCAATGAGGTACTTTTTGAATCTATAAGGACGGAAAATGAAGGATGGAAACAGCCATATTTGGTTTGACAAGTTTCGTATTACTTTTTCTACGTCGGCATCAGCGCCTATTGATCGATTTCGTTACCTGTAGAGACAGAAGTTTGTCCCGAGAACAACTATGCTTTATAAACTACTCAACACTAATTTCGTCGCACACCAAAATGTCGCCCCTGTTATAATGTGAATAACTTTTTTCAATTTGGAACAATTTGAATTTGGTTCACACTGTTCGATAGCCCAGTCCTTCAGCTATAATCTCGTACTTCATTGAAACATAAGGGTATTCACATAAAATCTCTACATGGTGTTTTCCGACACTGTGCGAAATTTCGGAATATTCAAAAGGCTCTCAAATGGTGAAAAAAAATTTTTTCTCAACTTCGACAACAGAGGCATGAAGATGATCTCATTACCTCGAGATATTTCGCGAATCAACTTCCTATCTCTCTTATTTACAGAGTGATCTCAAAAAATCAACTTTTTGTTTTTGCAGCCATAACTTTTTTCCACGTCAACCGATTTTGGAAATCTCAGGCTCATTTCGAAGATAAAACTTAAGATGAAGAGATCTGAGTATCAGAATTGACTCAAGATGGCTATCAAAGATCTAGAGTTTTCTTGGAAGTGACCCAAATCTGGAACGTCCTTCGAATCTTGGTAGGGAGGAGATTTGAATGAAAATCAACTTGGTCTCGGAAAAACAATTCATTCTGGATGCGTCCATATTTTCCTCGCTCTCAGTAGTCAAGAATTGTGCGTGAGAAAACACAATTGAAACATGTTCTTGCAAAAACATTAGATCATTTCTCCTCTGTAATGCATGGCCCGCCGTAACCAACGTTACAAGAATCACAAAGAGTGACTGACAAACCCGATCAGCTGAGGCTCATCATAAATGTTGTACCAACAAGAGCAACAGATTTTGATTTTTTCAATAGAGTGATTTTTTTAACAGTTGTCACGTACATAACTTGCGATTTAAGAATATGGAGAAGTATTCAAGCAAACAACGTTTATTTATTGTAAAAACGCATTTCAAAAATGGTGAAAGTTTCACGAAAACAGTTTACCAATTACGTAAAGTTTTCAGTCGCAATAATGCGCCGAACGAATCGACAGTAATAACCAAACAATTCTTGTCGGAGATAAGCCCTTTGAATGGATCGGACTGTCGTGTTTAGCAGATCTGCGATTTGGAGGGAAGATAAAGCTTGTTCCCTGATTTGTGGAATCAGTTCCAACTGGTCGGGCGTTAGATGCGGCATCGAAACTATCAAAATCTGTTTATGATTCGAAAACGACGTCTAACCTGACTTGTCAGTCACTTACTGTGATTCTTGTAACGTTGGTTACGGGCCATATATATCATGATATAACCGAATTATTAGCGTATGAATCAAAGATCTTTTTGGAGACAATAACGTATATTTCACGATTCATACAAAGACTGGCGGGTCTGGCCCTCATACAGTTTTCATCGCAAGTTCCAGCCGCCTACTACTAGTTTTTGTTAGGTTGCGATAAAAACAATCTTGTTTATATTGAAAGCGCTGAAAATACATTACATCATTCTCCTCCAAAACGAATAATTTTTCACGATGGATAGAACCGATCCGGTTGCTTGATTTGCTCTCTCGGTCTAAGATTACGTGATAGTTTAGAACTCTCGGGAATATTTTCACGTGGAAAATTATTCGTATCAGTATTCATATCCTCCGTATTAGTACCTCTTCCTTCAACTACACTATCACGTTCTATACCATCAATAACCCTATGATTATCCTTATCACTAATTGAATCAATATCACTACTATTATTACTAACAATTTCAACTGAACTATTCGAATTTGTGGAAATAATTCTAGAATTGTCTGGAAGTATTTGATCTACATGTTTTTTCATCTCCGTATTCCTCTGATTTCTAACTAGATAATTTCTCTGTCCCAAGACTTGAGTTACTGTAGCTGGTTCCCAGGTTGTTTTATTTTTTAACGAATAATCCCTCACCAAGACATTATCGCCAATGTTGAAAGTAACTTTTCTGTGACCACTAAAATTTTTGATTTGTTTTTCTTGGTACTCTGCAACGCGATCATTATTTAGGGGAGATAATAAATCTAACCTAGACCTTAATCTCTTTCCCAGCAATAATTTTGCAGGGCATTCACCCGTTGCGCTATGCTCAACATTTCTATAAGTGAACAGAAAACGATGTATTATCAGATCCAAATCCAATGACGAATTATCGCTTTTTGCCCGTGTAATGGCATTTTTCATTGTCTTGACCGCATTTTCGGCAGCCCCATTACTTTGTGGATGATACGGTGCAGAAGTAATATGTTGAATACCGTTCATTTTTAAATAATTTGAAAACTCTTCAGAAGTGAAAGAGGGACCGTTATCGGTAACGATCAGCTTAGGTAATCCAAATCTTGAGAAAAGACTCCTAAGAGTTTTTATTGTATACGATGAGGTAATATTGGTCATTCTGAAACATTCTAACCATTTGGAGGACGAATCAATCACTACTAAAAAATAAGAATTATAAAGTGGTCCAAAAAAATCCAAATGAAGTCTAGACCAGCTCTCCGTGGAATAGGACCATGGCATCAATTCAGACTTTCCGGGGTTATTGCTGTACTTTTGACAAGTTTTACAACTAGAAACCAACCTTTCGATATCGGCATTAATAGACGGCCACCACACGTAAGAACGTGCCAAGGACTTTATTTTAACTATTCCCAAATGGGACTCGTGCAGTTCCATTAAAATATTTTTTCGGAATTTTTCTGGAACAACTACCTTGTATCCCCACATGAGACACCCTTGTTCCACGGAAAGTTCATCTTTCCTCTTACTAAATGGCAAAAATTCATCGGATAATTTACTGGTTGGCCACCCCTGTAGTGTGAAATATATAACCTTTGATAGAGTAGTATCCTTGCAACTCGCTACTTTTATATCTTTATGTTTTATAGGCAAAAATTCCTGAACATAGTTATAATACGAGATGTTATTAATATTCTCAAACTCAGTCTGTTGCAGCGGTAACCGAGACAACCCATCGGCTACATTATTTTTCGAACTAACATACTCTATATCAAAATCATAGGCTGACAAGAAATGTGCCCACCTCTGAAGTCTATTTGCGGCAATTACCGGTATGCCCTTCTTTGATCCAAAAATACTTATGATAGGTTTATTATCACTTCTAACGGTAAAATGTCTACCATACAAATATTGATTGAATTTTGATACTCCCCATTTCAATGCTAGTGCCTCTTTATCCACTTGGCTATACGACTTTTCCGCATTATTCAATACCCTTGACGCAAAAGCAATAGGCCGATCTGGTGTATTCTCTCCTGGGTGGCTTATTACAGCCGCCAGCCCATATGCGCTTGCGTCAACCGTGAGTTTGACTGTTTTACATGGGTCGTAATGTGTTAAAACCTTCTCTGATATCAACTCTTTTTTGATGTTTTCAAATGCATCTTGACATTTTTTATCCCAATGGAAATTAACATTTTTTTTCAATAACTGGTATAATGGGTGAAGTATTGCCGCCGCGTTGGGGATAAATTTTATGTAGAATGTTACCATTCCTAAAAATGATTTCAATTCTGTTACCGACTTCGGATTTGGAGCTGATTCTATTGCTTCAATATTTTTTTTCGATTTGTGCAATCCCCGTTTATCTATAATATGCCCCAGATATTCTACTTCATTTTGAAAAAATGCGCACTTTTCTTTTCGCACTTTCAGCCCATTTTCCTTCAATAGTTTGAACACTAATTCCAATTTTTGAAAATGATCTTGAAATCGAATGGTACAATAAGAGTATGTGGGGATTTCAAAACCGGCACAATCGGGGACGCCCACTCCGAATATTCTGTAGGTTCCAAAATTCCTTGAGAAAGTAATCTATCTATTTCGGATTCCACCTTAGCCTTGAGGGCAAATGGCAAGGATCTATGTTTGAAAAATTTTGGAATAGCATTTTCCTTTAGCCTCAAATCCACAGCAAAATTTTTTAGCAATCCTAATTCATCCGAAAAAATATCAGCATACTTACTGCACAATGTAGTCAGGTTATCGCTACAAGTGACTGTATTTATTGACACAATGGCTAAACCCAACTTTTGTAAGCCCTTCCTACCCAACAAGGGTGGACCCCCATTTTTAACAACAAATGTTTCTAGTATCCCTACTTTATCCTTATATTTAAAGTTCAAATTCAATTTACCTAGTGGGCTAAATGAATGCCCAACATAATCCTTCAATTTTATATCAGACGGTATAATTTTTTTATTTGGGAACTGAGTTCTATAAACATTTTCCGAAATGGCTGAAAATGCAAATCCTGTATCTATCTCGAATGTTAAACTTGTATTTTCGATATTAAGAGTAATTTTTGTTGGGTTTTCATTTATACCAAGGGTTTCTTTAATATTGAGCCCACAATTTTGTTCAAGATATTTTCTTTTTCCTACATTCTCAACATCTAAACTGAAGAAGTTTTCTAAAAACTCGTCTTGTTCCTCATCATTTTCAGTTTCTACGAAATTATGTCTACCAAAGTTTGTATTCTTTCCAATATTTTTGCACATAGGGGCCAAATGACCCTTGTTTCCGCATTTATGGCACATATAATCTTGAAATCGGCACTTACTTGTCTCGTGGTTTGACCTACCACACACTTGACAGACCTTCCTTTTCGGCACTGCTGCAGAAAAACTCTGTTTTCCAGTAAAATTTGGAGATGATCTCCTACGGAACTCCAACTGATGCATGCTGCTTGTCCCAGGCTCAATCTTTATGCCCGAAAAATCCAGCGCTTCAGCTGCTTTTTGCGATTGTTCTTTACCCAATGCAATTTCCAGCATCCTTTCGAATGACACATCTGGTTTCTCTTCCTTGAGACGATCCTGAATGCCACCTTTTCCTATACCCAGGATGAAAATATCCCTCAAAACGGTCTGGAGTTCGCCGCTAGTGAATGATGCATTCCCTGCTAATGCTTTCAATCTTGTAGCAAAGTCCAACACTGATTCATTTATTTCACGCCGTGCACTGTAAAACTTCATCCGCTCACTATGGAAGCATACCACTGGAGAAAAATGTTTAGTCAGAATACTCTTGAGTTGATCAATCGTAGCACTATCAGGCTTATTTGGCATACACAAATTATTCACTAATTTGTACGTACGCTCACTCAGTGAATTTAACAACAAGTCCTTCTTGATGTCGTCTGCTACTTTATTTATCTTGAAATATTGATTAAGTTGGGTCCAAAATATTGTCCAATCTGAGTTCACATGATCAAATGTATTTAGGTGTCCTATGAATCCCGACGCCATCCTTTTTGACGGATCTCTTAGGTTGTTGTGCAAAAAAAAATTACAAACACAATTTCCCGATAATGATAATATATCACTGATTTTGCAGTATTGACACTGTATCCCGAATCGCACTGTCTATTTTGATCCTCGTCGCCAATTATTATATATCATGATATAACCGAATTATTAGCGTATGAATCAAAGATCTTTTTGGAGACAATAACGTATATTTCACGATTCATACAAAGACTGGCGGGTCTGGCCCTCATACAGTTTTCATCGCAAGTTCCAGCCGCCTACTACTAGTTTTTGTTAGGTTGCGATAAAAACAATCTTGTTTATATTGAAAGCGCTGAAAATACATTACACCATGCATTACAGAGGAGAAATGGTCTGATGTTTTTGCAAGAACATGTTTCAATTGTGATTTCTCACGCACATTCTTGAGTACTGAGAGCGAGGAAAATATGGACGCATCCAGAAAGGATTGTTTCTCCGAGAACAAGTTGATTTTCATTCAATTCTTCTCCCAACCGAGATTCGGAGGGCGTTCCAGATTTGGGTCACTTTCAAGAAAACTCTAGATCTTTGATAGCCATCTTGAGTCAATTCTGATATCCAGATCTCTTCATCTGAAGTTTTATCTTCAAAATGAGCCTAAGATTTCCAAAATCGGTTGACGTGGAACAAAGTTATGGCTGCAAAACCAAAAAGTTGATTTTTTGAGATCACTCTGTAAATAAGAGAGATATAAAGTTGATTCGCGAAATATCTCGAGGTAATGAGATCATCTTTATGTCTCTGTTGTCGGAGTTGGGGAAAACTTTTTTTTCACCATTTGAAAGCCTTTTGAATATTCCGAAATTTTGCACAGTGTCGGAAAACACCATGTAGAGATTTTATGTGAATACCCTTATGTTTCAATGAAGTACGAGATTATAGCTGAAGGACTGGGCTATCGAACAGTGTGAACCAAATTCAAATTGTTCTAAACTGAAAAAAGTTATTCACATTATAACAGGGGCGACATTTTGGTGTGCGACGAAATTAGTGTTGAGTAGTTTATATGAGTAGTAAATGTATTGATAAAGTTCACCAGCTGATCAACTGCTGCTGATTACTGATGCATGGTTCCTTCCTATTTAGTCCGAGACGCTCGTAATGCAATGCATTTGAACAAGGAAGTTTCACTAACCTGTCGAACACGGAAACGAGGCACAGAACGCATAGGGCAAAATACAGTCCGACATATATGTCACTGTAATAGGCGTAGTGAACGAGGAAGCTAACATCCTGTCGGTGGAAATTGCAGACGAGATAAAGCCAATGGCCGAGAGCTAGGCCTCCCAATAGCCCGTGGCACAGAGTAGACAGACGCGTCCAAACCTTCTGTACTCGCACCGATATTTCTATGGGATATGTCGATATTCTGAAAAAGTTGAAATATTACTATATACAGCTACACCGGTCAAAAATTTGCTAAGAAAAGAGTTGAAGCGTGCCAAAGCCAAATGGTGAAACAATAATTTTCTCCTATAACTTTTATTTTTCCATGAACACTCAAAGATCATAATTATACACGTTTGGCAAAAGAAAAATTCTCATCTATTGAAGTGAATACGCATAGGAGATCACGAGTATCTGATAAAGAGAAAACAAAACAATACTGCCAAACCTTGCCTTCCACCTACCAAAGCTATCGCGTACACACGAGCTAAAAGTATGTATGATGGCAACGTCGCTTACGTCACTTCCTCTCTATTAGATACCCATGGCATCGTCCACCAATATTCTAATTTGGTGGAAGTTGCCCTTGGATCTCTATGCGAATTCACTGTTCACACTATAGGAATTTCCTTTCGTGCGGTCCAATAGATGGTTTTCCTATGAAAAGATCTCTTGCCAGGCGTGTATATCTTGCCAGTAGTCACTGCAAATGTATGCAACGCACATCATATCTCCTTTGGAACCGATTGATCTTTTAAAATAGAAAAACTGCCTCAATACCTGATGAATTTGCTAGTGATTTTTTTTCAAACCGACGAACAACTAACGGTTCTAAATACAACTTGTTCTTAAAATTCTATTTTTTTTATTTGAGACACCATTCAATAAACTGAATTCGTCAACATGATTGATTCCATATGAATCTTTCTGTTTTTGAATTTTTGGCAATTTCCATTTTATGATCATTTAAAGCATTTTATGGTCTTATATACTGTTTATATATAAATATTATTATTCCTTCACTGAGGAAAATTGTGCTATTAGAGTTTTTGCTGAGATATTTCTTGCTACCATTACAAGAAATCATATTACCGTTATACATTTTCGAATAGAAGCAGCACCTTCAAATCCTATGATAGCAATAACGACTTTGCTGAAAGTGAATTTTCTGCCACAGGAAGGTATACTGCTGTAGCTATCAGGCAGCCACTCTGGGACAGCATGATTTTTTTTATAATTGTCTAGCTGAACTACTACTAGTGAGTTATATGCTTGTGGCTGCGAGGTTCATCGCATAGAACTGCACTCACTTCCAATAATACAACTGTCAGTCTGCCACGAAAATAATATTTGACGAACCAACTTGGGGTTATTTAGCGCCTACTCATCGTTATTCGATATTTCGCTGATTTGTCCCCCTCTATGTAAACATTTGTCAGACATCTTGCTTGATCAATCATTCACAGTTGGGCTCTTGATGCAAACCCATGTACAGGACGACAATCTCGACGACACGACAGTTACGAATACTTCCCCTCTTGAATTCAATTCATTATTCAAAATCTGAATCTGAATTCAAATATAAAATGGAAACATTTTCAAACAAATGAAAAAATCTTCTGTGTCCCTTTCAGTGCTTTCGTAGATCTGAGTGCTTCAGTTATTATACCAGGATTGATGGAATGATGAAGGTGAGTTTTTTCGAGGTTATTTCGTCTGAAATTCAAATATTTTACATTCACTAACATTTTCCTCTATTTGGTATCATGAAACTTTAAAATGGTCAAATATGTTTCAGAGCTTCTCTATAGAATCTGGTCTGAAAACTTATTGTGAGCAAAAATGTCCAGGTGATGAAATTATTTGAATGATTTTACTGGTAACATTTTGTTTTCCTGTACGCATCTGTAATAACTTGCCTAGTTTTCGAAATACAATGGTTTCAGAAGGTTTCAGAAAAATTCTTTTTTTCATCAATTACCTACTCAAAAAACCCATTGGTTTTTCCTGAGGGTGCATGAATCAATTGATCTATTGAATTTTAAAGATCATTGGTCCGAAATTTTCTTTAGGAATCAATAAATTGCTATTCATACCAAACATCAGGGTGGAAATTATGGGAAATGAAAGTGGATATCAGTCAAAATTTCACCTTTCTCGATGACAACAATCCTGGAAAATAACTGAATAACTATACAGTAAGAAGGTCATGCAACTATCTATGATCACCCATCAAGAGTAGCAAAGTTCCCTACCTACGATTATAACATTGCCCTACTCCCATTATTAGATGCACTCACTAGCTGTAGCAAAGTCAGATACCTACTACAGAAACATCGTCTAATAGCATCATACAGATGCACTCGCTAGTGACAGCAAGGTTCTATATCGAATAATCGCAGGTGGGTTATAATCAGCAAAGTCGACTTTATAATTACAGGTGATAACTCGCTTGTCCCCTATGCTATTAGAGTTTCTTGCTGGGGTAATTCGATTTCTGACTATGGTTAATAGGAATATTCCTCAGTGTTTCATTGGGTTTCAAAATTGAGTGAATCCATATTTCATACTGACCAAAATATTGCAAATTTTCTGATAATTACCGTAGAATTACTGTAGAACAGAATGTAATATTATTATTCCAGAATGAATATAATCACCTCTTTCCAAATTTGGCATCATCCAGATCTTGGGCAGATTGCCTGTTCAGGAAATGACTAGGCCGTGAAGTAACTTCGAACTTGTTTTTCTTCTGAACGTACAACTTGTCCGATTTTCGCGGGCTTTTCTTCATGTTTTCCGGTTTTAGGCTAAATTCCATGCTGTTTTCAAACACGTCATCTTGAAGTTCTTCCAGTGTCACCGCAATGTCAGTTCTCAGATCGTATTCTTCTTCCCGTTTCTTGTGTTTGCCTACAAGATACAAAATTTACAGCAATAAATGGAAAAGAGAGAAGCGTAGGTATCCCGGATTTTCATGGTTTTTCTCGTGTATGATTAAACTCGAATTCGATCCTTCATTATTATCAAAGGCTCGCCGAATATGTGGCGAATGTAGGCAAATAAACCGTATACGAACAACCTTATTGGTAACGGTAAGTATCAAAAACCAAGAAGTAAAGGTAGACAAATGTTTTCATTGCTTTTTTGGTAATTTTGCACTTATCATGCGATGGTTTTTTTTTCGAAATTGTTTTTTGGTACCTACGTATTTTTGTCTGAAAAACACGAATTTGATAATGAAAATGCGAACAAACCATTATTTATTACGATATTTTACTATGAAGTTACAAATTTCACCTTTTTTTCCGCTTGTCTTCTGGATCGCATTTAGAACAATTACCCCTTCTTTTTCCATCATTGGACAATTTATATAAATGACAATGTACGACACATTTTTTTCTATTATATGTAAGGGGAAAAAGAAAGCGAAATTTCGAACTTTTTCTTGAAATATCTCCATAAATAGTGGTTTGTTCACATTTTCATTATCAAATTCGTGTTTCTCAGACAAAAATACGTAAGTACCAAAATAGTTATTTTTGTATCTAGAGCGCGAAATGCTACTTTGGTGATCGAGATCTGAGGCGTAGCCGAGTTAAAAAAATAGTCGAGATGACCAAAGTATTTCGCGCTCGAGTTGCAAACAAAATTTTTTCTACGAACGTCAAAAAATATAGTTCCAAAGTCAAAATATGCTTAGCTTGATATAAAAAAATAGTGTTGAACTGGCTTATAAGGCCTCACCTTATCCTCCCTAGGTACGCACGATGTTCCACGAACATAATAGGAATTTCCTTTCGTGCGCTCCAAGAGATGAAAGAAATAAGATATTGTTGAACATTCAGAAATAAATGATTTCATGGATGTTTGCTCGATTGAGAACCATAAAGTTGAAATATAAATATCTCATATATTTTACATAAGAATGCGCGAAATAGGTACTTCGCGCACTGTTTTACTTCGCGCATTGTTTTGTGCAAGGTATCATGGTAACGTAGGAAACTGACGAAAAGTGACACTTCGCAATTTGTTATCAATGCGCGAACCTTGTCATTTTTTGACGTTTGTAGAAAAAAATTTTTCGAAAAAAACCCATCGCATGATAAGGGCAAAATCACCGCTTTTTATATTCTAGGAAGGTTTAAAAAAGTCGTCTGTCAGAAGCCACAAAAATGAAAATTAATATAAATATGTCTGAATTTTGTAAAATCTGTCATTCTAGTTTGTTCTGCAAATCAGATTAATTGATTGAATACTGTAAGTGAGGTGAATTATTTGCAAATATCAAATGATAATGATAATTTGAAATCATAGATTATACAATATATTTAATTCAAAATCAGATAAGTTATAACGATTATTTCAATTTCATGGTACCCCCTTATATCTGATGTATCAATAAACAAGATTAAATATAGGTATTAGCACGTATTTTGTTTTTATTTAAGTGTACCCACGCATGTATAAATTTATACTGAAAAATAGGGTAAGGGGTGTAATATATTTTGAACAAAGGCGGCATGGTTTTGCCCGCCCCTGATTATTATTTATTTACACTAACAAGATATGATCCACCTACAAGTGAAATGTTGAAGCCAAATGTGACCTTCTTGCATAAAATCATCTAATGAATAGTAGTTTGAAAAACTAAAGAAACACCCCTTTATAGATAGCCAGACAACAATAAAGAGGTAAAAATAAAATAAATACACAACATAGAAAATATTAGCACCTCCTTAATCAGTACATTCTATGTTTATTATTATATTTTTCACCTCTGTTTAGTTTGGCTACTATTTATTTTCTATTTTTTTGTTCAGCTAATTACAAAAGCGTGGTTTTTAGTGTTCTTATATTTTTTGCAAGTACCCAATTTTGCCGATAGAATCATAATCTCCTATACCCCAAAAACCACCAGATACTAATTTTGAATATAATCGGATCATATAATCACAAAACTCGTCGACCATATTGAATCCGCCATCTATGATTTTCCAATTTTGACGAAAGAATCATATTCTTCTACCCTGAAAATCATAATATTCATAACTCGTCCGCCTTATTGGATCCGCCATCTTGAATTCTCTAATTTCGACGAAAGAATCAGGATCTCCAACCCTGAAAACTCCAGATACAAATTTTGTATAGATTCGGATCATAATTGCAAAACTCGTCCGCCATATTGGATCCTCTTTCTTTAATTCACCAATTTTGACGAAAGAATCATAATCTGATGCGACCTCGAAAACTCTCAGATACCAATTTTGAATAAAATTAAATCATAATTATAAAACTCGTCCGCCATTTTGGAGCCGTTATTTTGTTCTTTGTCTAACAAAATTTTCCAATCAATCGGTCCGTTTGAAGTGGGTCAAAATCGAGTTCAAAGAAGTCGGTTACATACACACATACACACACCCTTACAGGTGCAGCTGATGAAAAATAAACTTCTAATTATTATATTCTGCATAACCGATCTCTTCCCTTTGCTGCTCAACAAAAAGTAGTTTACCTTGTCGCTCATAGATACCGCCACCTACTGAATAGTATTTCTAGCTTCATTGCTCTCATAATGATGGTGCATCTTGTTAGTTGTAAATAATCAAGGATATTCGACTCACGTTTCGAGGTGTTAGAGGCTATGGGCGAATTATCTCGCTGCTTCTTCTTCTTGCTCTTCCTCTTCTCCTTGGGGATCATCATCTCTCTGCTGTCGCCCAAGCCCAAATCGGGATGATCTGCCGCGTGCCGCTTCTTCTTCGATTTTGACTTTTTGGCGGGAGCAGCGGAGGCGGCCATGATGTCCTCGGAGGTGGCGGCGTCGAGACGTCCACCGCCGCCGCCGCACAAAGCGTCCTGCATCGCGTTGTACGCGTTCATCTCTTCGGTGTCCATCTGACACGCGGCGGTGTACTCTTTCCGCTTCCGGTGGTAGTGCTTGCGTTCTTCGGGGCTCAACAGCTCCAGGTTCCCTGGAATATGTTGCAAAGGGTGTCTATATAAGTACGGGGTTCTGTCCCGTTTTCATATTACTATACTATAAAACCTAGTAGGCAAGGTGTACTATTGTCTGTTCACTGGAATGAAAATATGCAAGTATTGCCCTAACCAACGATACTTTCAGTAAGATAGTGGATAGTGATCTTTATTTCGAACCAAAGTTGTTAATTTATCATCATAATCCAAGGGATTTCGTATTCTTGCCAAGATTCACCTATCTGTCTAGTTTGTAGACAAAACTTGATCAAACTTTGTCATATGAACGTATCATACATTGAGGAGAGGTATGCCAGAAGGATAATTAGAACCAATAAAACAAAATGAGGATATATGCATACATTATGTAGAAGCAGGAAGGTAAGACACAATTAGCTTCTTGCTCATGGATATTCTGCTTCGTGCATAGTAGTATATTGTGTAACAAGTGGGAAAAGTGCGATTCCCCACATGTTGCACACTATACTTTTTCTACAACTGCACTTATTCAAAGAATCCGAGTAATGTAGCTTGTTGGTATTCATTTTATAATGTGGCACTATGCCACATTGAATATTGTGACCAAAGAGTAGACGCCTTTCCTAGTTCCTCAAAGTTTTTCAAAAAAGTACACTTTCCGAAAGAGATTTTATTTCTGTATTTTTCTAGATTCCATACATTTTTCGTTCACTCCAATTCATACTTTTTTCTTGAAATTTTCGGAAACAAATCCAACTTTTGCAGCTTCTTCCATCATCTCTGTCTCTGGCGGTGTATTTATCAAAATCGTCACATCTCGGTATATATACATCTTATTATTTATTATGAATTATTGATTCCTGGAAAATTTTCAGTTCTGAAAAATTAAATTTTGTCGCACTTTTTACGGAAGCACCCCCGTATCTTACGTAATTGACTTTCCCTTCCTCCTGCAAATTTCAGATTCCCACCTCAATAATAAAGTGAGATACGGGGGTGCTTCCATGAGAAGTGAGAAAAAATGTTATGTTTCTGAACCGAAAATTTTCTAAGAAAACTATAAATAGTTAATGAATTGAGCGTCCTGATTCCGAATCTGTACTGATTTTTGACCTATTTTGACTCCTAATATCATTTACTGGAAATTGGGATGGTTCCATGGCTGTTGGCGAGCAGTGTATATCACTGAAGATGACCCCACTTACCCAACGATTACGCAAGATACAGGGGTGTTTCCATTAGAAGTGGTCACACTGTATATACTGGGTGGCATTGAGATAAGTGCAAATATTTCAAACACTGAGAAAGCTCGACGTGTATTATGGAATGGCACTAATAAAAAAATTCAGGGATCGAAATGAAATTTGAGGTTAGACCTCTTTTTCCACCCAAAGTTCTACACTTTAGCAAATCTGACGTTAACTCTGTTCAAATTTCCATGCGGTGGGCACAATCACGCGGAGTTCAATCTTTTGAACGTTTTCAAAGTGGCGTTCTTGATTTTTTTCTCGTATTCTGTTCAATTTTTGGGATGAAATTTCTCGTTAATTAGAAGAATCAGAAAAAATCTGATATCATGGGAAAATTCCTTAGACTGTATTATAGAGTAATGTGCTGAATATGTGCACTTATTTCAAAAACACTTTTTTTATGTTCTGGTTCTCACGAAAAGGGATATCCTGTAATGTTCAGAGAACATCGTGAGAACCAAGGGAAATAAGGTAGGAATTGGTGTTCTTCTTATATTTCTGGAGGTTATATGCCTCGGAGACACCTCCCTTGGCAATGATGTGTTTCAGAGCCTCGCTGTTCGTTGGATGAACGAGTCTTTGGACAGAGATGTTCTGCAGGTCCACGAAGGGGTGCGAAGCCTCGACTCGACGGGTTAATATGGCGGGGACTGCCAAGGGAGGAACAATTGTTGATATTTCAGAAGAGCATCGTTCATGAAAATATCTATAAAATAGGGCCAGATCGCCAACTTGTCTACGGTGTTCCAGAGAAGTGAGTGAGTTTGTGAGCGAGGCCTCACCCACGAGACGACTTTCCCTTTTTTGGACAGAATCCAACAGTTTCAGGGTATGTTTGGGTGCTGCACTCCAAATATGGGAACAGTATTCCAGGACAGGTCGGATCTGAGCCTTATAGATCATAAGCAGCTGACTGGAAGTGAAATATAGCTCCTGGCCCGAAACAGAAAACTAATTTTTTAGGATGCACTTTTAGCAATCGATCTCACGTGATTTTCCCAAGAAAGGTTATTTGCTGATAGTAATACCAAGCATCGTAATGGATGTCTTCAAAGGTATGCTCACTCCTGACAGGCTTATGTTGGGCACAGTGAGATCGGCTTTCCTAGAGAAAAGGCATGCTTGTGTCTTGTTTGCATTAAAATCTACCAAGTTATTGGATCCCCATTCTAGAATAATTGTTGCCAAGTCCATATTTATGTTCTCAACATTTCTCCCTCCTTCGTTTCTGATTTGCCTGGCTGGTATTGGAGCCCTGGAAGAGAAGGCGGTATGGAGGGTACTATCATCCGCGAAGCTGTGTACTGGACATGAATTTGCTTCCAACAAATGGAGTAGAAATCGTGTTGGTGCTATAATTGATCCTTGTGGAACACCAGCTTTTACGATAAGAGAGTCAGATGAAAACTCCGTCGACTACATGGAGAGATCTGTTCGAGAGAAGAGTAGTATGTTCTTTATTATCTGAGAAAATTAGCTTGACCCAATCAAACCTTTTCAAACGACCTTGAAATATTTCTACTAACCAGACAGTTCTTCCGGCACCCTTTCGTCCTCGTAGAAGCTGAGACTCTGTGGCCTGGAGTCGGTGAAGTGTGAATGTTTGTTGATATCTCTCTTCATCTCCGTCTCTATCAGCGACAAGATCTTGGAGTTGATCTGGCTGTCGCCGTCCACAGAGATGTCCCTGCTGGGCAACGCCTTCACGTCAATCACGTCGTTCTCATTTCTCTTGTCCTCCTCTTTTTTCTCCTCGTCCTCTTTCTTCTCGTAGTTGCCGATGAAAGTCCTGGATAACAAAAGAGGAGTGTCACTACTGATCTCTTTCCGTTTGTGCAAGATATTTACAACTCAATGGAACATGGATAATTTGTGCCAGAAATTACAGAGTAGCTGTTATAGTCTGAAATTTATGAAGAACCACAGCAGTCGGCACATACTACCCTCGTTGTACTATGCCAATTTCCATTCCCATATAAAGTACGGGATTATGAATTGGGGCAATTGTGCTCATGTGAATAGAGTAGTGGTTCTTCACTTCAGAAGTATGCAATTCGAATTCTTGCTAGTGTTGATATGAGAACAATAAGTGGCAGAGGATATTTCAGAACAGACAGCAACCTAACCGTTGTTAGTTTGTATATACTAGAAGTTTGTTTATACGTTTATAAAAATAAAAACATGGTTTTGAATACTGTTGAGAAGCACAATCATAATACACGCTTCAAAAGCCATCTTCAACCTGAGAGACACCGGACTACGTTGTACCAGAATTTTTTTATTATACTGGCTGTAAACTATATAACTCTCTTGATTAACAAATCATAAGGGCTCCCTCAACTTGAATATATTCAAAGAGAGGCTTAAACAACAGCTAATTCAAAAGGCCTGCTATACGCTGGATGAGTATTTTATATAATTCTAATATTCTTATTCTGATAATGTATGTTATAGTAACCTGATGTATTGTTTGTTTGTTATATTTTTTTCTTTTGTTTGACGTATTTTACAGTTTCATGTTATACATTTAACAGAAAATAAAATTTATTATTATTATTATTAACATGCGCGGTGTACACCGACTTTTCCAAGGCATTTGATAAAGTGCACTACTCAACTTTGGTGATGAAACTTGAAAATTTTGGTGTACATGCTAATATGTTGAGGCTCTTGAACTCATAGATACTAATATGTCGTTTTGAATAATTTTCAATCCAATAAAACCCTTTTTTTATGTTCTGGTTCCCACGAAAAGGGATATCCTGTAATGTTCGTGAGAACCAAAGAAAATAAGGTAGGAATTGGTGTTCTTCTTAAATTTCTGGAGGTTATATGCCTCGGGGAGTCGGGGAACACACCCTTGGCAATGTGTCTCGCTGTTCGTTGGATGAACGGGTCTTTGGAAAGAGATTCTGCAGGTCTCCAAAGTGACCACGAATGAGTGCGAAGCCTCAACTCGACGGGTTAATTTCAACAATTGTTGATATTTCAGAAGAGTATCGTCCATGAAAATATCTATAAAATAGAGCCAGATCGCCAACTTCGATCATTACACTTGATACATAATAACTATTAACAGTCACTATATGATGTAATATTCATTTATATGCAAACTATATTTTGATTTGATAGTGTTGTGTAATTGTTTAATCATCTTTTTCACCGTGTTTCGGAACGCTGAACACGAATCCAAAATATAAATTTTCTTAGATATTCCCAAATAAAAGAATACTTTGTATCACAATATCTCTATAATAATTCATTTGGAATTTATCAAAAGTACTTACAAGTCCTTCAAATTCCTTAGATACATATTTAATTTTCACGATATTGCAAAAATTTGCAAACAAATGAATTGATGAAATCATGAATACATAAGACGAGTGATTTTATCTAAATTCGTTTGGTTTTTTTCGATTGTTCGAATGATTTTGCGTTGAATAAAAAAGTCTGAGAGATAAAAATCATCATCGAACATAAAAATACTGGGAGACAAGACAATTTCAGATGTTAGAATTGACAAAACCATTCGTTGTACCTTCGATGTGTCGATATTATTCATAATAATAATTATAATAATACTTTATTAGCCATTTTGAGGAACATGTACATGTACCGGGTGAACAACTAATAAGAACGGCTGTCATATCTATTATTCTTCCAACTTTGATAATTAATATCTTTCGTTGGCGAAAAGCTATCATGTTGCGGTTTTCGATGGTCTGTTGAGATTTAGTTTCTCTATTATACCGCCGTGTGATAATATGCATACCATAAGCGTTGATTGATATATTACGCTTACGCTGGGAAGATGCCCAACCTGTGTTATTTGCGAGTCGATGCCCCTCTCATCCCCTCGCCTATCGTTTAGCCACTGTGAGGTAGCGACTCCACTAGGCACACAGAACATGTCTGAACTAATTGTACAGATTACTACACTTTTGTGCAGAATTACAGATCCCATCCCACCGCGTGCTATCGCTCCAGAAATTTTTGTTTATCCTTGTCTTCTCGCCCGACCGGTTCCGATAAAAAAATGTTTGCTACGGTCGGTGAATCCCATGGACAGTATTGATTTTTCCCTCGGTTTCTTGCGGAAGAGAGAAGAACATATTATGATCTCTCACTCAGTTGGGTTCCTACTCCGTGGCGTTTTTTTAAATTCCCTTGTGAATAACTTGTCATACTTTGCCTAGACCCTAGACCAATATAATTTGTATATCTGGAAAAACATCTCACGCCTTTTTCGTTGATTATTTTTTTTACTCAATTTGTATCCATTTTAAAGTTTTGTATTAATAAGACATTATAAAATATTGATAATATAATCAATCTGAATGTGATAATTTCTTAGTCTCATCAGTAGATAGAAAATAAATAGTCAGATATCATTGAATCTTTGATTGTTAATGGTTCACTATAAAAATGAAATAAAATACATCATCTATAATAGGCATAATATACAGAGTGAGTCATAACTATTGGAACATACCGGGTGGCTACGGAAGTATTGCCTACGGAATATCTCAGTTATTGTATGAAATAGGTTCGTGAAATTTGGAGCGTCGATATAATGACATAAGAGCTAGAATTTGAGCATATTGACATGTCGAAGTTAATTTCCGGTCTGACCGGAAGTAACATCAACTTTCTTATTTTAAATGGAAACCCTATTTTTTTTTCTTTTCGCTTGATTCAGCATTCAATTCCCTTTCTGATGACATATCACAAGTTGGTATCTAACCAGAAACTAGATCAGAAAAAAATTATTATTGAAATTCACCGAGTAGGCCGTGGAAGCAAAATGAGAGCCAAAAAATGACTTTCTATTATATCATTAGAAAGGAATGGTTATGCTGAATAGTACAGGCAAGGAAAAGCTGTATGTTCCTATTTAAGTTATGGACCTACAGAGTATTGTTTTTTTCCCAATTTTTCCAATATTTTTTTTGGCGGCTTTTTATATCGCCGACGAATGCAAATAAAATATCACAGTAGTAGCAACTGTTATCGAGTGACGTATGGTTGTCATAGCCAACTTTTCAATTGTTGGCTTTCATTTTGCTTCCACGGCCTACTCGGTGAATTTCAATAATAATTTTTTTCTGATTTAGTTTCTGGTTAGATACCAACTTGTGATATGTCATTAGAAAGGGAATTGAATGCTGAATAAAGCGAAAAGAAAATAAAATAGGGTTTCCATTCAAAATAAGAAAGTTGTTGTTACTTCCGGCCAGACCGGAAGTTAACTTCGACATGTCAATATGCTCAAATTCTAGCTCTTATGTCATTATATTGACGCTCCAAATTTCACAAACCTACTTCATACAATAACTGAGATTATTCCGTAGGCAATACTTCCGTAGCCACCCGGTATATAGAATTCATTTATTTATTGGATTACAAGAGTTGATGCTGCAAGCTTATGAACCATTTTTTACAGTATCTAGTTGTTGAAAAATATGAATTCTTTTTTGGTATATTTGAAGAGATAAAAACAAAATCAACAGAAAACAGCTACATTTCCAGTCTATATGCCACGATATATAATCATGAAATCGGCGTTGATATTTTGTGATACCAGTAACTTTTTCTGAGTAGAATCGATTTTGCCGCTCCAGAACAACGGAGTACCTACAGACTACGGAACGCTCAGAATCTCCGCCCTAACAACACAGGGATGTACTAAATACATAGGTACTTCCCCTCTTTGTAACACGGTACAGGGACATAATTTGGGTATCCAGGGAATGTCCCGCAGTGGTTGTCCAGTGGACATCCGGCCCCGTTACATCCATAGGTTATCCAATTCGTGTCTTTGGTATATCTGATATCTATTCATATCAGAGTCATTGACTTTCATCAAAATATTGAGTTGAATTTATATGAAAATGTTTGGTTTTTTTCTGGTAAATAATTGTAATAAAAATAAAGAAAGTCAGAACTTCTCAAGAAATTACCATTTTTCGCAAACAGAAATCGTAAATGCATAATGCCCCTCATTTTCAAACATCCACGAATGATAATAATTATACCCAAATCCTAACAAAGTTGTATTTATTCAGGTTTCTGCAGTTTGGTCCTGTTTAAAAATCTGTTTGGTACATAAATCTCCAGAAGGCATATCAGCCAATGAAGTAAGGTGCGTGCCTGAAAAAGCTAAAGGTCCCGGGTTCAAGCCCTACTCGACCTACATTTTTTCTTTCGTCGAAGGGATGTCCCAGGAATATCCTTGGGACCTCCTAGGGATATCCTTCCTTCGTACTTGGTACATCCCAGGGACGTACCAGACGGAAATCCCTTGGATGCTTTTTTTGTCAGCCAGCTGATGTCCCTGGGACGTCCCTAGTATGTACTCTGTCCCGACAAAGGATATCTCTGGAATGTCCTTGTATAAAATTAGGGACGTCCCTGGGAAGTCCCTAGGATGTACTTGTGTTGTTAGGGCGACAAACGACGGCTTGCAAGCCCTATCGCCGACAAACGCACCGAGTCGGCCGCCCCACAAAAATCAAAGGAAATTATTGGCACTCCAAGTTTCGGCAATACATATACAGGGTGTTTCGAAATTCGACCGACAACGTTTGACAGGTGATAGCCCTCGTGATATCATAATCATTGAGATAGGAACATTCGGTCTTCAAGTGTTCAGTTCTCGAGATACAGGGCGTTGAAGTTGAGAAATGAAAATAGTTGTTTCGCAATATCTCAAGAATAATTGAATATAATGCATTCAACTTCGGTATATGGTTTCATCTTTGAATGGGCCATTTTTTGACCTGGAAGCCATTCCGGACATTTTGTCCAGTGGTGCCCTACAGGGGGTTGTGGCATTTTTTCCTTCCATATTTTCTACGCCACTGATTGAATTTCGATTATTTCCAATTCCTCGAATTCATTGTTCAATTTTGTTCAGAAAATGCATCACCTTCAACTGAGCTGAAATAAACAGTTTTCGAGATATTCGACCCAAAATAAAAGATTGCATAGTAATATTTCATCATTTTCAGTAGTAGAAAATTGCAAAAATATTTTTCTGGTGTTGAGTAGATTACATACTATTCAGATCTCATTCTGTAGCTGAACAGAAACAGTTATTTCACTCATAAAGAAAAAACAAACATTTTTGTAATCTTCTACTACTGAAGAAGATGAAAAATTACAATGCAAACTTCTATTTTGGGTCAAATATCTCGATAACTGTTCATTTTAGCTTAGTTGAAGGTGATGCAGTTTTTCAATATAATTGAACAATCAATTCGAGAAATTTGAAATAATCGAAATTTCATCAGTGGCGTAGAAAATATGGGAGGAAAAGTTATCACAACCCCCTGTAGCGCACCTCTGGGTAAAATTCTCGGAATGTCTTTCTGGTCAAAAAATCAACCATTGAAAGATGAAACCATATACCGAATTTGAATGCATCAAATTCAGTTTTTCTTGAGATATAGCGAAAAACCTATTTAAATTTCTCAACTTCAACGCCCTGTATCTCGAGAACTGAACACTTGAAGATCGTATGTCCCTATCTCAGTGATTATGAAATCACGAGGGCTATCACCTGTCAAGCGTTGTCGGTCGAATTTCGAAACACCCTGTATAGGTCGCATCATATACCAGTATAAAATACTTTGGATTGATAGCGGTATATAGAATTGTCACGCAATGTTCCGCGTTTTTCATGTGATAAATATCAGTAATTTCAATAATGAAAATTTCAAAAATTGTACATAGCTCTGACAAGAAAATGATTTGCGACAGTGAATTATCGTTTGATTTAGTAATTCGACATAATGAAATATGAAATTCCACTCAAACAGACCCATTTAGATTCAGTTCTAGGGTGAAATACACTAAGGTGACAACACTGGTCCGGGTTCGTGAATTTCAGTCAAATTTATGAGCAGCTTATATATTGATATCCGCTGACCAGTTTATTCCACAATCGCCAAAAATGGAAGCATTTATTGTTGAGACATTAAATTTTGTGATTCACTCCAATTCGATTTCTATAAACTTTTTTCATGATCTCACGTCCGTGATGCGCTCGTTAGAAGCACATCCAGTACAACTATTACCTCTGCTATTACTAACAAATTCGAATTTACCGCCATATTAGTTAGAATCGTACTGATTCAATTCATCATGGGTTCGATACAAGCGTTCCGGATTATGGATTGTTTAATTGTTCCAAGTCGTACGCCATCTGCATTCCAATAGATTCTCTTCGTAAGTGGCGCACCTGCCCGTCAAATTACGAAGTATTGCTCCGACATCGTTCGACACTATCGCCGCCACTATGTGAGATTTCGAACTATGGTACGCCATCTAGTTGTGAGATTTTTTTGGACCTCGTTTTGCCCCATAAGGTTGGGCATCTTCCCAGCGTAAGCGTAATATATCAATCAACGCCATAAGATTACGATTACCGTCCTGTCAGTATCAGGTGAAAGAATTATAATAAAATGTTATCTCAATAATGATGATCAAAAACAATATGAATCAATACCCCTTGCTAGGGTAGGTAGAAAATTGCAAAATAACTTGGGTTTGCTCAGTGAAAAAATGTCGTAACGACATCCATTTTAAGGATACAAGGTGTTGAAAAAATTATTTTTTTACACATTTTTCACGATTATTCCGAAACTACTGGCACCATTGTAATGAAATTTGTATGGATGTTTCTTGAAATCTGACACATCGCATGAATTTGTTTTTATATCTGACTCTCATAGAGGGCGCTAGTTACACGGTTCGTATCGAGTAGTTTTGAACAGAACTCTTTTGAGGTTAGATTTTTCAATCGAAATATGAAATTTCAACATCCTGTATCTCAGAAACGAAGCTGTTAATGACCTATGTTCACATGAGGAATTTTTCTTGAAATCATCCAAGGATTATCGCCCTTTAGGATCAGCATTCAATTATGAAACACCCTGTATATTGTTGTGAAATGGACGTAATCATCCTGTATCATGAAAGAGCCGGCGAAGAGAATATATAGAAGTCAGTTGCTGTCAGTAGTTAATTTCATGAATTGTCATCATTTTATGTACATGAACTTTATTTTCGAATACAATTTTCTGAAAAGCCTTTCACATCTTGACAAAGAACCTAAAACAACAGGAAATAACGATATCTGAAGATATTTCCTGCAATAAAGTTCATGTACGTAAAATGACAATTCATGAAATTGACTACTGACATCAACTGACATCTATTCTCTTCGCCGCCTCTTTCATAATACAGGATGATTACTTCCATTTTACAACATTATATCCATTTTTTTGTGTTCATAATCATATCTGAGAATATTCCTTTTCAATGATTCTCTTATATTTATCAAGAAAAAAACAAAAAGTACCTGTTGTTGGAACTCTCGACATGTTTTGTATCCTCCAGAGTGTACGTTCTGTTAACATTATCCTCGGAGGAATTGGTGGTGGAGGCACTGTGAATGCCACCCTCCGTGTCACTACCATTGTTGGAAAGAATCGATTTGTGCACTTGAACCACTATCTGCTCCTTCATTTCGTCTTTTTGTTTACGTTTTTTCGACCGAGGTGACACCAGGAGACTATTCATTCCTTCGACTCTATTGATTTTTCAGCCCTCACCTTATCGGGTGTGTGTTTGTTTGTATCCACTCGAATCGAATCACCTTATTTGTTTGTGTTTACACCATAGCTAAAATCGGCCACTTTATCTCTATGTCTTTGTGGTTTTGGAGTTCGAAGGGTGCTGATTTTGAGGGTTGTTTTAGGGTGGTTTGCGATGCGTATAAAGGGCCATTCAACTGGTGCTCGAAGTCGAAGGCGCATGGGTGAACTATATTTTCGCGTGGGAATAAATCTGTATCTTGTACAGGGTCATCCCATATAGCACCAGTGTATGGGGCGCCGTTTGGTTCATAATTATTTTTTCGATATATAGAAATTTTAACGCGATATATAGAAAAAATCCTATATAATATACGAAATTATCAATATTACATGAAAAATTTCTTATATCGTGTGAAAAATGTTCTATATATTTGAGTGCGACGAAATTTCAATATATATTAGTATGCCTCACGCCGTTTGGTTCATAATTATTATTTGTAATATATAAAATTTTTACTGAATTTATATAGAAAAAAGTCTATATCAAATGCACAAATTTTATATATGACGAAATCTTTATATATTTGCGTGTCAGGAAAGTCTATATTTGCGCGTCGCGAAAGTTTATATTTGGTTGTACCAGTGTGTGCAGAAATAGACTTTCGGGTTCCAGGGTTTACCGATAGGTGGCTGAACGCGGCTGGACGTCAGCACAGAATGAGGTTAGAGGATCTGGCAACACTGAGGTCAAAGCTACGATCAGATGTCAGCTGTATGTTTACTGTTTGTCGACTAATTTCTTCTCAGAGTCTCAGAGATTTGGCAAATTTTTCAACAGTGGTAAAAGTGGATTTAATCTGCACAAAAGCGATCATTATTTTTATAGATTGTGTTTTTCAGTTAAGTTTCAGTGGAATTATCATTATTTTTCGATTCTTTTTATCATTTTACATAACCTCAAAAAATTGTGGTATAATAAGTGTGAGTATATTTGATTTTTTCTAGTGTCTGGGGTTACTGAGGTAGAAATGATATATTTTTGTAGATAAACTTGGCAATGTGGAGACCTGGAGGAATAAAATGTGCAGTCAAAGACTGCAAGAGTGAGTACTTAAATAATAACCAACATACACCATTGAGATTGTTTAGGTTCCCTTATCCTACCCAAGAAGCAAGAATGATTTGGAAATGCATATATAATATGACTGGGAAATGCATATATCATATGACTCAGAGTTGACTTCAATAAGGGCTCAATACCCTTTTGTGAGTACCAGCATTTATGTAGTTCTGTGCAATGTTCATGTTACACTTTCTGATTGTACTTTTCATGGTTCTACTGATTTTCTGAAGGACATCTGAAATGAGAACTGGCTATGGAAATGACATAAGGAGAACAAAACCAAATAAAGATCAAATGTATTGATCAGGACAGTTTTTATTGACTCCAATGGCTCAAGAACCTTTTGTGAGTACCACAATGGATATATGTTCAATTTTTATGTTATACTTTTCTCACATTTCATGATGTTACCGATTTCCTGGGACAATATCAGAAAATGTGATACCTGAGTAGGTATCAGAATGATCCCTACATAAGTCAAAACCATCAATGGATGAATTCATTGAATTGGCTGGTATAGTGACAAATGAAATTAGATAAAATCTGCCAAATTGGAAGCCCGGGACCAGAAAATCAATATCCTGAAGAAGCTGATGAGAGTGATGGAAGTAGTCAAAATATTGATCATTTCTTAATTGAGTATTTCTCATAATTTGATTAAAATCTTCATTCAAAATCATGGTTATTTTTATTTCATATGTGCAAACCTACCTTGAATACTTAAGGAAATAATTTCAAGGAATTTCTTATAAATGGTTCATTCCATTTCCTTCAGTAAGACTAGGCAGAATGATGAATCATCAGCTTATGGAAAAATAAGATGAATTGAAGATGTTCATTTGCAAGATATCCTGAAATCTGTTCCTAACCTAAAATTCAAAAAAAAAAATTCCACATTGCGCATAGGTAAATGATGATTTATCGTTCACAAAAACAAAATATCCTCATGTCCTGCTTATGTTTCTGATTCATTAGTAAGTCAAAATAAATTATTAATTTCAATACAATAATACATGTAAATAAACTATTCTAAGGTGAATTCACAATGTCCACCTAATTTTGTAGAATCGTGTTGTGATTGGGTAAACATACATTTACATGACGGCTGTCAATCTATCCACCGATGAGGATTTGATACGTTGAACGCGGATCGCTTACTTGTAAGCGCGCCTTCAATACGTATGTCAGTTTCATAAAATCAATACTTCAACCTGCTTCCAACCAATGAGCGGAGCGTAACCCATCGTGCCCATTCATATGGGTTATTTCAAGGTCATCATCTACATTTTACTATTTCATTCTAAATACTCCAAGTGAAACCTCTTTCCCCTGGTTCTAAGAAATTCATTGCTATTTTGTGTCTATATAATGTAGCTTTAAAAACACCAAGTAATCCTGATATTCTTGTCCAACTCAGACCTACCGGTGTGAACCTGGCTGCCTAAATTGGCTGCTAAAATTTCCGAACCTACCCGACAGACAATACCAGTGGCGGGCGGTCATTTTATTCAATAAAAATGTTATTTTACTAAAATGAATCAATTACATGGAAGCTTCATGATCTGATGAATAGAATTTGGACTCACACATGCACATGATATCAGATGAAAAAAACATCAATACCTCGTATTCTGTTGACTTCACACTGGTTAAAATGTTATTCTCCAGAAAGATTCACCTGCTCAGCCCGAAAAAAAATCTTTCTCGATCAACTTCATTCCATATAATCAGATTTGATATTTCGATCAAACCACATTAAAAATTTCAGAGATCATTATACTGGTAATGATATGACAACATTCAAAATTTATGAAATTCATAATGAAATGAAGAAAAACTCGAGTTCATTTTGAATTTTCGGAGATGGTACTAAGTATTCTACTACATTCATTGAATCTTGGAAAATCGGAAACCATCATTTTCACTCGATTTTTAGAAAAAAAAATCATTTTCTCCGAAACGCACTGGACTGTCAAACTGAAACTAGCGCAGAAGTCTTCTACTACATCCATAGAATCTCATTCTGCGAGAAAATTCACTTGCTCAGCCTACGCAAAATGGAAAACTATCATTTTCACTCGATTTTCAGAAAAAAAAATAATTTTCTCCGAAACGCACCAGACTGTGAAACTGAAACAAGCACAGAAGTCTTCTACTACATCCATAAAATCTCATTCTGCAAGAAAATCCACTTGCTCAGCCTGCGGAAAATGGAAAACTATCATTTTCACTCGATTTTCAGAAAAAAAAATAATTTTCTCCGAAACGCACCAGACTGTGAAACTGAAACAAGCACAGAAGTCTTCTACTACATCCATAAAATCTCATTCTGCAAGAAAATCCACTTGCTCAGCCTGCGGAAAATGGAAAACTATCATTTTCACTCGATTTTTAAAAAAAAAATTGTTTTCTCCGAAACGCACCAGACTGTGAAACTGAAACAAGCACAGAAGTCTTCTACTACATCCATAAAATCTCATTCTGCAAGAAAATCCACTTGCTCAGCCTGCGGAAAATGTAAACCTATCATTTTCACTCGATTTTTTGAAAAAAAAATTTGTTTTCTCCGAAACGCACCAGACTATTAAACTGAAACTAGCGCAGAAGTCTTCTATACTACATCCATAAAATCTCATTCTTCAAGAAAATCCACTTGCTCAGCCTGGAAAATAAACTGAAGAATATGAAATGAATACTGTCTGTATGTTCTTCGAGGAATTAATAGTTATTTATGCAACAAGTGCAAAAAGTGAATGTTTATTGCATTCGACGTGAAATTGTCCGACGAGGCCGTCAGGCCGAGTTGGACAACACGTCGAGTGCAATAAACAATTTTTGCACGAGTAGCATACAACATTTTTTCTACGTTCATGCAAAAAGCAAAAAATGATTTATTGAGGTGCGGCACTAGGTACAATTCTGTTAATTGTCAGAATTAATTTTTGACTGACGTTTCTATAACCACAGTTGCATTATAGAAAATGTTTGTCATGATGACATCACGTTGAAGTAGAATGACAGATGAGTGCAATAAAAACTGTTTTTTGCATGAATGTAGAAAAAAGTATTTATTTTGCAATATTTTTTGGGTTTTCTCTCCTCGTCTTTAAGAAAATATATATTATAAGTGATCTGTAATAAGTAGAGTATTGAACACCTAGTCTCCCGGAATGTAAATGGTAAATGGTGAATTCAAGATCAATTAATTCCGAAAGCACACTATCGTCTATGGAGTTCTCATTGTGAAGTGCCAATAATAGATATTAAATTGTCAAACAATCCGCACACGGCTGAGAAATAAGAAAAAGTAAACCTCCATTTTGTTGAAAATAAGCAGAACAGATTCGTTCCCGAAACGTCCAAAGCTAAGATATTTTCCATATTTTTCAAAACGAAATGTCACTGAAAATCATTACATTTTTCTTCCAGGTTCCTGAAAGTTGAGTTTTAAGCGCATTGCGACATTCCGGGAGAGTATTCAATACTCTCCTTATTACAGATCACTCATAATATATATATTTTTTTAGAGACGAGGAGAGAAATTCCAAAAAATATTGCGAAATGAATATGGAATAAATATAAAATGGATATGAATATGAAATATGTCGAAGAATTCACATTCCTCAAAATTATCCCTGGAACTTTGAATGGCTTCAAACGGTTTCAGATGATCCTTCATTCTACATCTGGTGCGTTTCAGAGAAAACGATTTTTGTCTGAAAATCGAGTGAAAATGATAGTTTCCCATTTTCCACAGGCTGAGCAAGTGGATTTTCTTGCAGAATGACATTTTATGGATGTAGTAGAAGACTTGCGCTAGTTTCAGTTTTTACAGTCTGGTGTGCGTTTCGGAGAAAATGATTTTTTTTCTAAAAATCGAGTGAAAATGATAGTTTCCCATTTTCCACATGCTGAGCAAGTGGATTTTCTTGCAGAATGAGATTTTATGGATGTAGTAGAAGACTTCTGCACTAGTTTATTCAGTTTGACAGTCTTGTGCGTTTCGGAGAAAATGATTTTTTTTCTGAAAATCGAGTGAAAGTGGTAGTTTCCCATTTTCCACAGGCTGAGCAAGTGGATTTTCTTGCAGAATGAGATTTTATAGATGTAGTAGAAGAATTCTGCGCTAGTTTCAGTTTGACAGTTTGGTGCATTTCGGGGAAAA